CTATCTAATGCCGCTTCCTATATACTATATACAATGTTAACTATAAAATTTATTGTAACTATATATTTATATTCTAAATGATGTAATCGAAGGTGACTTTGGACGTATCTCTGAAGTCATTTTTCAACTTGTCGACTCTGTATATAACAATACAGGGAGAAAAAAACAGCCCTTGCTGAGTTTCTTGTCGGTTCTTCTCAGTACAAGGTCTCCCGCCGTAGTTTTGCGAACCGATGGCGTAACTTCTCGACCTTCACAAGTGCTTGTAACAGCCTAGACTGAATAAATGACTTTTTCATCCCACCACCTCGGAAAGTGTAATTTTGCGCTTCGAAATCTGGCTGGAAAATTCTATTTTATTCGCTTGAGCGGCAAAGTAGATTTGAATTTAGAACATCACATATAATGAGTACTCAATATAATTGTAAATTCAAAACGTCATTAAACCTATTTAATGTAACCTCTATGGTGCCAAATTTATGATTAGAACTTTTTAAATTGTGAAAAAATTTAAATTTGGAACCTTCTTGGTTTCTTTGTTTTATTTGCGTGCTTCGCGCCATTCTAGTTTTTCACGTTTTATTGCTTAAATATTTTGTCATTATAAATTGTTTTCTTTTTCATTTTGTCATTTCCTCGCTGAGGTGGGATGAAAAGTTACGTATTGCACTCGAGTGGAAAGATTTTTCACCTTGTGCTCGTTTGTTTCCCTCGCTGACGCTCAGGATTCTAATTTAGAATCACTCGCTGCGCTCGTGATTCAACTTTAGAATCCTTCGCTTGCTCGGTCATCCAAATCGAGCACGCGGTTAAAAAGGAACTTTCCACTCTTGTATAATAAATAACTATTCATTTCATTTCACCCAGTCCCCCTCCCCCCCTTCCCCGTGGTACTCACCGACAGAAACACAACACCACCAAAATGTAATGTTTTTTTACTGTGGTCTTCTGGAGGTGGAGGCTAATTCCCCAGACGAGAAGCGGAATATCCACTATCTCATTCCCCCTCTTTTAAAGGTTGGATGGATTCATAAATTCATGTGGTTCGGACCGAATTAATCACTTCATACATTTAACGCACGAATCGAAGATGGGAAAAGCTGAAGACAGCATCGTGACAATGATAACCTCCCCCAATCAGGTCAAGACTGATGGAACGATACAGCAACACGTATAGGTGAGTGGCGGGAACGTGCGCCGCCTCGTGGTCCTATTATCAGAGCAGCAAAGGTCAAAATGCGACGCCAGAATAAAATAGTGGGACTTATGAAATCATTGTTTCGGTAAAGGAGGATTTTTAAAACTGAGGAAAGAAGTTGTTGATATGATATACTAGTATGTGACTAAACCTTCACTAACAGGAACCTTGTTCCTAATACTAAGCTGTCAGCCCATTCATCTGTCTGTCAGTGGAATAAAATTTTCAATGGTGTAGTGTAGGGATGGATGGGCAAACTACGGACCCCGCGATATCTCCAGCTCACGAATGGTTGAAATTCGGCGCGCGATCCAGGGCTTGAAACCGGTTTCAAAAATACCGGTAATAAAGATTCATACCGGTTTTTAGTAAAGGTTTCGTATGGAGCGTCCGAAATGAAAGCGATACCTAAAACCTTAATAAACCGGTTTAATCCAGAAAGACACGTGCACGCGTCGGCATCGCTTGAAATTTGTTTTGTTTGAACTAATCAAGTCACAACATGTTAATTCTCAGAGATTGAAGCATTTAATGACACGTTTGCTAGCGTCTAGTGAGTCAAGTTATTCATTTTGTAGTTGTGTATTTATTTCAGCTGTCAGTAAGACCGAAATGAAACCCTTTAAAAACCGCTAAATTGATTCAAACCCCATTTGATTTCGCTCTTTAGGAAAACCGGTATTTTTAAGGTTAAGGTAGAGCCAAACCTAAATAAAACGCTCCTAATGTACTTGACACTGATTTAGGTTTGAAAATTAACCGGTAAACAAGCCCTGGCGCGATCATCAAACAAAAATCAAAGGTTCTCACCAAAAAAGTATTTTTTTACATATTCCGATAAAGACTACCTACCCCTCTGCCGAACATAATATCTACCTATTTCCTTCGCAGCAATCTCAAGGGCGTATTTACTTTGCTACTGAGCTGCAGGGGGAGAGGCATTCGCTTCTGAGCTATATTTTGTGCAATACGTAAGTGGCCTGAGCAAAAGCTTGGCCCGGCTAGATTCTGATAGTAAATATTGACACGAGAAGGGAAAAGTTTGATCATCCCAGGTATAGTGGGATTCAAACTTTCTCCGTAACGTATTGACATCGATTAACTTTCTTTGTTAAGAAAAAGCTAGTTTAGTTTTTTAGTTTAGCTAGTATTGGAATTCTTGGCGTTGACATATCAAGCGACGTCCAGTTTCGGGATCATTTAGAGGGCAAGGCCAAATTGGCCTCTAAGAAGCTTGGTGTGCTCAATACGGAGAGTGTTCTGAGGAATTGTTCGGATTAATTCCAGCTGCTGCATTTCGCCATCGTACATCGCGACAAAAATTTCATCTCCATCATCTTTATGCGTGGCTATCCACAACCATGCGTTTTTGTCGAATTTTTTTACCACGTACGACAAAACTGTGGAATATATTGTCGCCAGCAGTGTTTCCGGACCAATACGACCCAAAAACCTTCAAAAAAAGAGCGTTCTCCTTCCTTAAAGGCCGGCATCGCATTTGTGATACTCCTGGTGTTGCAAATGTTCATGGGCTACGGTGATCACTTACGATCAGGTGAGCCGTCTGCTCGTATGTATGTATATATCGTATGTATATGCTCGTATGCCCTATAACATAAAAAAAAGTGTTCTTACGTCCGATAGAAGCGCTGTTTAGTTTTCATAGAAACTTTGACGATGCGGTACGTTACGGATCCCAGCACGACAACGCCAAACTAGAGCTAAGTTCCGAGTCTCAGAGACGCCCTCTAGTTGAGCCGACCCCCTCAGGTTCGAGTGGTCTAGAGGCTCCAGACGGAGAAGGAGACTCCCTCCGTGGGTAGATGCCACCTGCCTGGCATACCTCTAGAGGCACTCGCCAATTCTCGGCTTGAGGTCCCTTTAGGATTTCGCCGTCGCCAAACCCGGTGACGCTGTAAAGGTCATCTGCGACCAACAGCATACAAACTCAAACGTTATGGAGCTTTCAAAGATTCGTGCTTGGTTGGGCCTCTGATATGACGTGTGGTTCAAAAATAGACCTTATGGTTGAACGCCACGTAGGTTTTCTAATAAACGATAACATTGAGAAGGTACACTCTTTGAGCACTTAACTCTCGGGTCAATTAGCTCAAGTATTTTTTTATTGATGGGACTCGCCAATCCTCACAATACGCACGATTTTAGGTTGGCAACACTTCATAATGCATAAATCAATTTTCACAAGCAAAGAAGTAAGTGCTTTATCATCATCATCAACAGCAGCCTATTAATGTCCCCACTGCTGTGGCACAGGCCTTCCCTATGGATGGAATAGAGAGATTGGGCCATGACCCACCACACGGGCCCAGTGCGGATTGGTAGGTGCTGACGACTGCAGATGCAGCCGGGACCAACGACTTAACGTGCCTTCCGAAGCACGGAAAATAAATTTCTGGATGGGTATCCAAAGACCCACCACTGCGAAAGTTGCTTAACTTCAACGATCGCAGCCGAACGCGCTAACCACTTGCGCCATCGAGCTCCTCAAAAGTGCTTTGTCAGTTATGGTAAATACTGTTAATGTTTCATTAGCTAGGTACCTTTTATCTCCTTCGTCCTTTAGAACATGACTGGTTTCATATTAATTAATGTGAGATATATTCATTGCAATTAACGAGACGATTTGTCGGGCCGGTACCGGATAAGCCTGCTCATGAGTTTCTTTTTTGAGTGTGTATGCTGTTGGTCGCAGATGACCTTTACAGCGTCACCGGGTTTGGGGACGGCGAGATCCTAAGGAGACATCAAGCCGAGAACTGGCGAGGGCCTCTAGAGGTATTCCAGGCGGATGGCATCTCCCCACGGGGGAAGTCTGGAGCTGGCTGACATCCTGGATTAACACATAAGCTACGTTTTACTGCGAGAAAATATCCCTAATAAACCGCAGGTAACACCGCGGGGCACAGCTAGTTTTATTTAATCCTGTGTTAGTGAAAGCCCTGCCCCGTAATGACCGGTTAGCCGCGAGCGGCAATACGTGTAGTGTGATGTGAACGTGACCTACATTAAATCTGTGACTTTGACACTGACATTGAGTACAGTGCGAACAAGATCGTGTGCCACTTTTGTGACATAACGAAGATAATTAAGTACGTTAAATCTCCTGACTAAAGGTATGGTTATAATCACAACACACTAATATTATAAAGGCGGAAGTTTGTTGAGTGTGTGAGTGTGTATGTTTGTTACTTCTTCACGACGAAACGGTTGGAGCGAATTTAATAATATTTGGTATGGAGTTAACTGACACTCTGGATTAACACAAAGGCTACGTTTTTTTGCGTGAAAATATTCCTAATTAACCGCAGGTAACACCGCGGGGCAAAGCTAGTTTACACATTTTTTAGTCCTTCCAGCGCTAGAGCTCTCTGACGTCATAATCACCATGCGGCCACCCGAAAACTCGTTTAATAATTTGGTCATAACTTCGTCAATATTTGTCGTGAACAAAAAATTAACCACTGTATTTTATGGAATCCTTAGCTCTATCAATCTGCATTCTCAACTAAAATCGTTAAGGATCCTCATTACTAAACACTTTAAATTTACTCTAGATGTAATAAACGGACGGTTCAGACTAAAAAGTTGATTAGATGCAATTAACGAACGCAGATAGTGAACTTCAGTCCCCGTTGCGAGCTCGATGCGATTAAAAGGGCAACATATTATATGTATAATCAAAGTATGTCGCTATGGCTACCCCTTTCGTGTTGTTCTATGGCTGATTCTGATGAATATGATGCTGATAAAACAAAAAATATAATTTAAAGACATGACTCACAAGATTTAAATTGACACATAGAGTGGCGAGTTTAAGCATGATTCTCAGCAGTTTAGGACACCTGGAATAGAAGAATAAAGGTAATTGGGTACAGGGAACTACCCCTTTCGTGTTGTTCTATGGCTGATTCTGATGAATATGATGGTGATAAAACAAAAAAAATACATAATTTAAAGTCATTGATGACTCACAAGATTTAAATTGACACATAGAGTGGCGAGTTTAAGCATGATTCTCAGCAGTTTAGGACACCTGGAATAGAAGAACAAAGGTAATTGGGTACAGGGAACTACCCCTTTCGTGTTGTTCTATGGCTGATTCTGATGAATATGATGGCGATAAAACAAAAAAAAATATATAATTTAAAGACATTGATGACTCAAAAGATTTGAATTGACACTTAAGAGTGGCGAATTTAAGCATGATTCTTAGCAGTTAAGGACACCTGGAATAGGAGGACAAAGGTAGGTAATTGGGTACAGGGATGACGACGCGGAAATTCTATGCAGTCCGCCAGTAAGATTATCAAAAAATAAGGGACACGTATTTTTTTTTCTTTTGTCAATCAACCATACAATGACAAAATAAAGCGCATCAAAGTTTGGGAGTCCCTGTTATCGTGACGTCACTTCTCAGTAAAAATTGTACTTAGATGTGCCGTTGGCGACATTTCAACTCAAAATACACCTCTGTGAAGTTAGCCCCCCACTTTTTGAATTTTATTATTATCTAGGTTGTTCTGGGTTGTTCTATGTTTGTTCTACATTGTTCCAAAGTATTATTTGAAAAAACTAAAATTTGAAGCTGCCAGACAAGAAAAACCGTTTTTCTATGGTAGCCCCCCATGTTTGGAAATTCAATATTTTTTTAGTTGTTCCAAGTTGTTCTAGTTGTTCCGAGCATTGTTCCAAAGTATTATTTGAAAATATTCAAATTTGAAGCTGCCAGACAAAAAAAACGTTTTTATGGTAGCCCCCCATGTTTGGAAATTCAATATTTTTTTAGTTGTTCCAAGTTGTTCTAGTTGTTCCTAACATTGTTCCAAAGTATTATTTGAAAATATTCAAATTTGAAGCTGCCAGACAAAAAAAAACGTTTTTATGGTAGCCCCCCATGTTTGGAAATTCAATATTTTTTTAGTTGTTCCAAGTTGTTCTAGTTGTTCCGAACATTGTTCCAAAGTATTATTTGAAAATATTCAAATTTGAAGCTGCCAGACAAAAAAAGACGTTTTTATGGTAGCCCCCCATGTTTTGAAATTCAATACTTTTTTAGTTGTTCCAAGTTGTTCTAGTTGTTCCTAACATTGTTCCAAAGTATTATTTGAAAAAAAATGGTTGCCTGTAAAGTCGGTTTTACGGGCGAAGATTTTACGTGACAACGTCTTTTTCTCGGTAGAATATTTATTGATATGAATATAACTAAATTGCACAATAGGAACAAGGAATTGAATGAAAATAAGAATTGCACAAATTTTAACTATAGAAATATATTTTGTTTACTAAAACATTGTACATGTAAACTTAAACTTAACACGAGAGACTCATCGTAACGTTACCGAGCGTTACACTTTTTCATAAGTGACTCCCAGCCGCAACCTAATTTAAGACGTTGTCACGTCAAAAACTCAAATTTGAAGCTGTCAGGCAAAAAAAACCGTTTTTGAGATAGCCCCCCATGTTTGGAAATTCGTTATTTTTAAAGTTGTTCCAAGTTGTTCTAGTTGTTCCTAACATTGTTCCAAAGTATTATTTGAAAAAACTCAAATTTGAAGCTGTCAGACAAAAAAACCGTTTTTCAGATAGCCCGCCAAGTCAAGTCGTACTAGAGACAATAAATAAATCAACAATAATTTTAAACAATGACGATTGTATCAGTACAACCGTGGGCTATATCGTTCCAATTTCATTTAATCATTTTGAATAAAATTAATAGTTATAAGACAAGAAAACATTACACTATAGGGTAAACTCCCTAATTGTTGGCACTTTAAGAGTAGGTTCCATGTCAGTCAGACATTAAATTACCATAAAATCACATCTAAATGAGTTAGTACACAACACATGTAACAGTATCAAGGAAATATAGTTCAATCTTTGTTTTCATAATAGTACAGTCAATGAAGGCAAAAATCAGCTATAACCTCCGATTTCGATGAACCTCCATCGATTTTCATGAAAAATGGTGATGAGGTGGGGGATACCATATGAAACAAATGTAACATAGTGCCAACTTGCGCTTTTTCCCTAGGGGTAGATACCACCCCTTCTCGGGGGTAAAAATTATTTTAATAAAAATAACTCCAGGAACAAACTCTAAGCAAAAGTTGTTATATTAAGTTTTCGAAATAAATCAATACTTTCTGAGTTAATAATGATCAAAGATTGTGATTTTGCGTCAAAAAATTCATGTTTTAAGCGGTTTTTCATAAATATTTCAAAAGCTATGAGTTTAAAGAAAAATATATTATTACTAGACGCAACGAATATTCGGTTACTATTCGGTATTCGGCCTATTCGGCTGCTTTTATTATATTCGGCCGAATACCGAATACTTAAATAATATATTTTGTCATAGAGAAATAATTGGTAAAATGAAAATTAATATCGATTGATTACGTAGGTATATATTCATATTTTCATTTCTGTTAAATATAATCATTAAAGTAGCCATTGGTACATAATCATCTTCTGAATTGGAAAAATGGAGGATTCTATGTATTTGAATTATTGTGGTAATCAAAATTTAAAAGGGTTTAAAATAGGTTTTAAAATTTAAAAGGTTCTCATTTCTTTTATAATCATTTTTTAAGTAGTCATTGGTACATAAAACAGGAACATATTTTAATCATTTTCTGTATTAAACAAGTTAAGAATTTTTCTATGCATTTGAATTATTTTCATAATAAAAATTTAGAAGGGGAAGGTTATGGTGCAGAAAGACTAAATTTTCTGCATTTTTAGGAAGTAGTAGAAATTCTTTTTTTCTCGTACACCATCCCAGCTTCAGAGTAAAGGCGCTCTGAATAAACACTACTTCCTGGCGCCGACAAATATTTTGCTGCAATCTTAATCAAACACGGAAATTCAATTTTCCTTGCTGCCGCCATGTATATGGGTTGTCATGACGTGATATATTACTAATATTTAAGAAAAGATCCATTTCTGTTGAAACTGCGTTTGACTCAATTGCACTGCAAACAAAGGGGCGCGAAACAATCACGTTTGTACAAGTTTTTGGCGTTAAAATCCAGCCGAATACTTTTGCCTAATATTCAGCTATTCGGTCAGGGGCCTCGCCGAATATTCGGTATACTGCCGAATATACTATTCGTTGCAAGTCTAATTATTACCAAAATTGAAGCTAATAAAAAAACAAACACCTTCTTTGAAAAACCTTCTTATATGAATTCAAAGTGAGCTATAGGTAATTGTATGTATATATTTTTTCGACGAGTACTTAAATCTAAGTTTCCAACACTAAATAACGGGAAACCTATGCATTTTGATGAATGGTTGGAATTATTTTTCGTTTTTCCTAAAAAAAATAAGTGTTATCTTATATTTATCATAACTTTTTCAATTTTGAAGCTATTAACTTTTTACAGTGCTCATTATAAAGGTATTTCTGAGGAATTTAAAAAGTGCTCCGGAAGTGTATGTCATAAATTCATCGGTTTCCCGTTATTTAGGTTTGAATACTTAGATTAACTACTTGCCGAAAAAAATATATGTACATACAATTACCTATAGCTCACTTTGAATTGAAATTAGAAGGTTTTTCAAAGTAGGCGTTTGTTTGTTTTCATATTAGCTTCAATTTTGGTACTAATGTTTTTTTTGTAAAGCTCATAGTTTTTGAGTTATTTAGGAAAAACCGCTTAAACATGTATTTTTATCACGCAAAATCACAATATTTCGTCGTTGCGCTTGGAAAAACCGACAAACGTCAAAATCAAAATTTTCAGGAGACATAAAAAACTGATTGGAGCTGAAATTGAATACTTAGGTGTAAAATCAAATATGCAAAAAAATAAAAAAATATGTTACACAATAGATTACAAATTAAGTTTCAAGAAACAATAACATCTCTTTGATAGAGATTTTTTTTTTCATAATTTAAGACACTTAGCTGGTTTTTTTTGTGTCGTAAAACACCGCTATGTATTTTTCTGACACAAAGCTGATTTCCCGTTTAAGATTTAACACCCTTCACTAGCCTATATATCCACAAAACGTATTTATTCTATTAAATAGAATAGTTAACACGTCAATCTGCATCATGAAATTTTTCAACTAGAAGGTACGCCTCTAGAAAGCCAGACAAAGAACATTGCTTTAAAAAAACATTTTATTAGACAGGAAGTAGTTTTAGTAGGACAAAAATTATGGCAGGTACTGAAATTTTCGCTGCGACATTTGGTAAACAAGTACACTAAAATCTTAGGTTGTCGTAGAATGAATGGTAATCTCGATGCATGTAAGGCTTAAACAATTGAAGTTGGTCGAATTTGCTTTTTTCTATTTTACTAGGTCTTTCGTGTAACAGTGCAGGTGATTGATATAACTCAGGTTTTCTTCGTTGTGGTAGCAGTACCCAGTCATCTGGGTGAAAATATTTATAGCTTTGCCCTGTTTACAAAGCAGTGCCCTAATATCTGTAACAGTTGGATCTCCTGTTTTTTTGCTCGGCCGAATCGAAGCAAAGTTACTTGGCAAATCGTCACAATTTTTGAAGAAAGTGTGGGCGACGTTAGTCACTTCGTACGGCTTTGTTGGTCTTGCTTGTCGGATCCGGTAGACATAGTCGCCAGGGGTATATAGTGGTGGTTGAAAAACTTTTCTAGAGTAGAGTGCACACTGTCCACCTCCATCATTGTGTGCAAGGGGTACACAATGATGGAAGAGAAGGAGGATGGAGTCATTTTCCAAAATAATTTGGTCGATGACTATCGATTCTTTATTGGAAATGTCAGGCAATGCACTCACTCAGACTTTGTTTTTGATCTGGTATGCACAGCCATCTGATGTTAAACCAAATTTTTGGTATCCATTCGATTCTTTTAGTTTTTCCATAAAATCGAGAATGCTTGTTACAAACTTAGTTTATTATTGTTAATTTATATTGTAAAATATGTATTTGTCGTTTTTCTTTCTTTGAAAGGCTGGTAACTCATTTTCCTAGCAACAAAAATAATAAACGGAATACATTTTCGTCAATGATTGCAGTGCATCGTCAACATATATCCTGGAACTGTTTGCGCGACAATAATGGCTAGGCACCATCTGTAGCACATCTAACCACTTCGTAACTGAATCAGATTTCAATGTTTTTCGTTTGATCTGGTTTGGATTATTACTTGGCAATGTCATTGATTCTGTTGTCTTGTTGTTGTATGTTTCGTGGCATCTTCTGCTCTTATCCAATCTGTGAAAGATTTTTTTTAATATCTAGTGTCGCTAGTTAAAAGTCTCTGCAAAGTCTCAGTTTGATACCGTCATGTCTCGGCAAATAACAATCAATGCCATTGTTTCTTTTATGATCTGTTTCTATTAAATCTTCCGATGTCTTGCGTCGCTTGTTAATAGTTTCCTATTGAAATTTGGATATTGGCTATTGAGATTAAGCAATATCCAAATTTAAATAGGGTAGTTAGTTGGTATATACCTCCAGCTTAGGAACCCAGATAAAATTCTTACCCTGAGCTATTAGACATAGACCAACAGATACAATTAGTTCTTTTTGTTTGCATGATTTAACATAAGAAGGAGAAAGGAAGCCTCCCGAAAGAGTTTATTTTCGCCGGTTCTTTTTTGGAAGGTCTCCTAATTTTGGAACCGGAGGTAGTTTACGGTAGTTAGAATCAAATAAATAAACTTAAAATTATAAAAAGGAATTAACGAAAGTACTTTATTATTTAATTAACTAATATATTCATGCATAGACAATAAAGTTTTAAAAATCTACCAATAAAATATCCGAATGCTGAATAAAAGTCTTTCGAAGGTAGCTCGACAAAGTAAATAAAAAATCATTATTCTGAAGACGCATTCCTGCAAACGCTGCGAAACGTCAAGAAATAAATAAAATCAGCGCATCTAACGACGGAATAAAAAGTTTGAAGATAATAATTATATATAACAACTAGCAAACCCCGCGAACTCCGTTTCGCCACCAGATGGCTTCGTTTCATGTAACATTTCGTTTGGTGATTAAAAGAAGTTTTTTTTTTATTTTTTCCTTAATTTTCTTTGCTATAAACCTCACGGAGCCCGAGACCTTTCCAACGAATGCAAAACCGTGGAAATCGGTTCGTGCGTTCTGGAGTTATAGCGTCAGGAAGGAAAACCCGACTTATTTTTATATAGTAGATATAGTATTTTAACGAAATGGGTAGTTTGAGGTTGTGTTTAGGAAAATCACCAAAAACTCACTTTTTTACATTTATTTCCACGGTACTGTTTGTTGAAATAAGTATTTCCGTATGTTCTGCAATAATTTAAAATCCAATCCTTTACAATAAGTTAATAATGTGAAACTTGCAATAAATACTTGTTTAACAAACAAACAAGTTAAATAGTGTAGTTTCGTTTGCACGCCAAATAAAATTACCGCCATGTGCAACATAAAGGCGCAGGAATAGCGCATCGACTATGAGTGGAAAATACGCTATGTATACCACCGACACAAAGCGCATTTTGACGCCTATTTTTCTTTGACAAATACATAGCTGTTTATGTTACTTTTCTTGCAAACTGACTTTTGACAAAACGGGTTTTATAGCCCTATCGGGCGTCGCAAATTAAGCCAAAGTAGCCACAAAGCTCAATTTCGGAAAAAATACGCTTGTCGGATTTTCCAGGCGCAGCGACGATTTAATCTTTAATAACTCAGAAAGTATTGATTTATTCCGAAAACTTAATATAACAAATTTTACTTAGAATTTGTCTTTCTATCGATTCCTGGAGTTATTTTTATTAAAATAATTTTCACCCCCGAGAAGGGGTGGTATCTACCCTCAGGGCAAAAGCGCAAGTTGGCGCTATGTCACTTTTGTTTCTTATGGTATCCCCCACCTACTTACCAATTTTCATGAAAATCGATGGCGGTTCAACGAAATCGGAGGTTGCAGCTGATTTTTGCCTTCATTGACTATACCATTATGAAAACAAAGATTAAACTACTTTCTTTGATACTGTTACATGTGTAACATGTGTTGTGTACTAACTCATTTAGATGTGATTTTATGGTAATTAAATGTCTGACATGCTACCTACTCTTAAAGTGCCAACAATTAGGGAGTTTACCCTATATTCTAATGTTTTCTTTTCTATTAATTTAATTCAAAATGATTCAATGAAATTGGAACGATATAGCCCACGGTTGTACTGTTGTTGTACAATCGTCATTGTTTAAATTGATTTTTGATATATTTATTGTCTCTGGTAGGTACGATTGATTTTATTTTATAAATAAAAGTTTTTTTTTGTCTTACAGCTTCAAATTTTATTTTTTTCAAATAATACTTTGGAACAATGTTAGGAACAACTAGAACAACTTGGAACAACTTTAAAAATAGCGAATTTCCAAACATGGGGGGCTATCTCAAAAACGGTTTTTTTTGCCTGACAGCTTCAAATTTGAGTTTTTTCAAATAATACTTTGGAACAATGTTAGGAACAACTAGAACAACTTGGAACAACTAAAAAAGTATTGAATTTCAAAACATGGGGGGCTACCATAAAAACGTCTTTTTTTGTCTGGCAGCTTCAAATTTGAATATTTTCAAATAATACTTTGGAACAATGTTCGGAACAACTAGAACAACTTGGAACAACTAAAAAAATATTGAATTTCCAAACATGGGGGGCTACCATAAAAACGTTTTTTTGTCTGGCAGCTTCAAATTTGAATATTTTCAAATAATACTTTGGAACAATGTTAGGAACAACTAGAATAACTTGGAACAACTAAAAAAATATTGAATTTCCAAACATGGGGGGCTACCATAAAAACGTTTTTTTTGTCTGGCAGCTTCAAATTTGAATATTTTCAAATAATACTTTGGAACAATGTTCGGAACAACTAGAACAACTTGGAACAACTAAAAAAATATTGAATTTCCAAACATGGGGGGCTACCATAGAAAAACGGTTTTTCTTGTCTGGCAGCTTCAAATTTTAGTTTTTTCAAATAATACTTTGGAACAATGTAGAACAAACATAGAACAACCCAGAACAACCTAGATAATAATAAAATTCAAAAAGTGGGGGGCTAACTTCACAGAGGTTCAAAATACCTCTCCTTGTATACACCGCACGGCCCGATCGGAGCACGCTACCCACGGGACTATAAGCCGTTTTTTGGGATGGTTAGAGTCTACTTTTGCGATAGAAGTGAAACCTACAAATTGTGAGCACGTAAAAGTCCTTCATGACTAGGTACGTCTTAAAGACAACACCTGTGTTAAAATTCAACTCTTTAGGTCAAAATTAAATATTTTATACAACTGAAATTGTTCCGAAAAATTAATAAACGATAAAAAATATTTAATTTCTTTTGTTATGTTTATCTTATCTTAGGCTTTTTTCAAAAAAAATATTTATAAAAAATTGCAAACATTGGAATCGATCCTTCGGAATCGATCATCGATCGAATTGAAGAAATCGACTGGTTGGCCACCCCTGCTATAAACGTTTGCGTTTGGGGTTGCCAGATCGCAAAGTCAAAATATCTGGATGTTAAAATTTTAAAATGTCGGGATTATGGGATTGCTGTCGGGAGAATTGCAATTAAAGATTGTACAGAGTAAAGACAAAGGATGTGTCCAAAAATATACCACCGATAACGGCGCAGTGAACACACGATCGCCGTCACGTCATCTTAAACTCGGCCGGAAATATTCTCGTTCTCTGTGACGGGAGCGATAGACAAACGCCCGTACGGTGCCGTTTCATGTTACGATGCGGCGCCATTTTACGTTACCGTGGTCTAGTGGCCAGGCCAAAAGGCAATATATATCACATTAATAATACATACATATTTTACCCGATCAAAGTAGCTATTATATCCTTTAAATATAAAAACCTCACTCACCCATTAGCACCACAAGATGCAGCTCTTGCCGGCACTGTCGGTGATTATGATTGCATTCATCGTCAGATGCAACGAATCCAACGCGTGATGTCACCGCCTTGCCATGCTTCTGAGACACCTGAAAATTAAACAATAAATGTTAAAGACAATAATCTTCTTTCAACTTTGGGAATATAGGTTCCTTTGCGGAAATATTAGCACTACCAAACTCTGACACAGCAAGTCGATGTTTGGTATGGTTTTCGCTAGTAAGAATAGCTCACCCTCTCCAATGTTTTAAATTAGATAAGTTTAGTTTATAAGTTTTGGTAAGGGTATGATGAGGTTGGCATATTCATAGAATGAAAACCGCTAATTAAATAATATATAGCTAGAGACTAGTAATGAGATGGCAAGCAGTGGGAAGCAAGTGTATTGTTCCAATAGTTTTATTGCTAGGCTATAAATGAGTATGCGAGTACAACATACAATTACTCGCCACACTCACTAGTGTGACAGTCCTGAGTAAAAATGTACTCGCGGGCTTTTGATATAAGCGAAGATCGCTGAATGATTATTAACTGTGATATCTCAGAACCAAAATTGCGTAGCGAGTTCTCAGCAGTGGTGTGAACAGTCAAGAGATCAACTATGGAATGTGATTCTATTTGTATGTTTCTTGAGCAGAAAAAAACATTAATTCTGCAAAGTTCCAGTTTATTAAGGAGTTCCTCAGGAAGGTTGGTGTAACAGGCATCAGCATAGTCAAGGATAAACAGTAATAGAGTCTGCCATATAGGGATTTTGGTACTGGTTGGCAAAAGTTGCATAAGCAGTTGAGCAAGCTGTATGTATGCAGTAAAAGTTTTTTCCTGACTGCCTGACTTTCAAGAAATTCTTTTAGATCAAAAAAGTAAGTAAAATATTAAACAATAAATGTATTTGAGCTAAGTTAATAAAAAATATGCTATAAGATTAAATAATCTTATCATGTGCTGATGTATCTTATTGGGGATTATTTTGTTACAACTTACTAATAAGAATCTATTACAGTCAACATGAGAATTAAAATAGATTGCTAACATAAGTAATTTAATTATAAGTACATAAAATGATTTTGTAATATTTAGGTGATAATTAAAAAAAGGTTATCAATGTCACTCAACTTGTATTATGGTGAAGCTATAAACCCATTTTTTTAATAACTAGTTACTTCAAAACTAAAATAAAATCAAGAGGAGTTAAGGTATAACTAAGGATTATAACTATATAAACTAAGGCTTTAAAATTTAAGCACTCATACTTGAAATTTCCAAATGACACAGCGAAATACATATCAACAAAATGAGAACATATTATATGTAAACACTGAATCTGCGAGACGAAACCTGTTTCGCGTTGTATTTACCTACTTACTTAGTACTACGTGATTTTGTAATTTCAATTTGCCAGTTATGTTACTTTATTACACAAGATCCATTCAAATTTTATTGTCTATTTATGTCTGTATGTAGCCGAAAAGGAAAAGTACCTTGGAACCTATTTGGTTATGAAGGTAGGCACATCAAAAGAGATAATTTTATCTCAAGTAATGTAAAATCAGGAAAAATACTTACAGATTACAGCACAAAATTTATATAAACAATGTGCCAGCAAATTCAGTAAATTAAAATTAAAAAATGAGGGTCAATTAAAAATCCAACTTGGAAAGAAAATCGCGAAAATGACAGTTTGATTGGAATAAGGATGTTCGAATAATGGATTGACCAACCGATTAATCGGTTGTTTTTGACAAATCAATCGACTTATTGAAAAATGGAATTAATTGATTATTTTACATCTATTTCTTGAAATGACCTTCTATAAGTATGGACTTTAAACTGCTTACATAAACAAAGCCTAAACTGTTCTAGGGCGATCGGCGCGGTGTAATTGCTACCACCCTAGTTAGGGGCCACGCCCACCCTTTTGATAGGGCTTTTAAAATTGGCTAGGGTAAATTCTGTTTTAAAATTATCTATCTGTCTTTAAGTAGTAGGGTGTTACCTATACTTATGTTGCCCCCCCCCCACCCCTCCTCCACAATGATTGGCCCTCTTGTATTTATACCAAAATACAAAGAAATTTATAAATAAAATCTAAACACGATATGTTTTTATTATTCTTTGATAACATTTCTTTAGTCTTCGGTAGATAATGGGACTCTAAAAATGGCATTTTTTTCAAAAAACAAAGTTTGATTGATGTTGGTTTACATATGCTACGAAAAGGTAGCTATTTTATTGAAGTTAACAAGAGGTAGGTGTTTTTAAACACGTTATTTTATGACTTAATGTTTATTTTTTTTCAACATAATTAGCAAAATATGAGGCCACTGCATAGATGAAAATTGTATTTTACCAGAGTTTTACCTTTAAACAAAATAACAAAGTTTTACCATTCTTTTTATAATAGTCTTAAGTATGGGAGTAGAATCATTGGCACGTATATAAATCAACACAGAAAAAAGGGGAAAACTTAGAACGAAAAATAGGAAAAAAGGAAAACTTTACCGGTTCGGCAGTAAAGGGCTACAACCCAGTGCCGTAAAACCGAAACAGAAAAAATTAATTAAGTTTACAGACAAGGCTGTATGCACTCAGAAGTTTTTGCCCGTCCCAACAAGGATAAATCGACAAAAAAAAGAATGTCAAAAATCCAGGCGCGCCATTGTTCGCGCAAGACTTTTTCACAATTTTTCTTGATCTAAACACAGATATTATTTTCTTCGATTTAGCGGTGGAATTAGAAATTATCAAGATTTTCTAAATCACTATGGGACTACCGGGCATGCCGGAGGACAAGCTACCATCATGTTGGTCGGACGACATACGAATGAACGCTTTATTCGCACCATTCCGAATAAAGGCTGCTAATCCGGAATCATGGGATATGAAGATGAAATTTTGGTCCGATATGCTCAGGCAGTGGTGTAAATGTAAGAAGGATCCAATAGTGTCTGCAGCCGACTTCAAATTTGCCTTTCAGCGTAAAGGCAGAACACCAGCGTGTATTGATATTGTCATTGAAGAACTGTTGCGGTATGTAATGTCTATTTTTATATATCGTCCTTTTACAGTTTCTTTATTAGTTCAGTTAGTTTTTTATACTGTTTTTACAAATTAAAACTTATTTCTTCCTCTGTGGGAGAGGAAGAAAAGGAACACTTATATTTGTGTTGAAGGTCAAGACATAATTGTCACTGAAATTATATGCATAGATTGTTACTTAAATTTTATTGTGTGTACATATACTTTAATTGTTCCTAATTTTTGACTCTGCTTGTAATGTGAAACGGCTCTGTGTGAGTACAAGATATTCAGCATATATACTTTGGACATTTGCTGAAAATCTGAGAGTGACAGTAGACACTGAATGACTGTTAGTTGTTTAAATGTTGTAGGATGACATGATAAATCGATTTTTTGCAAAAATCCTAGGGATTTTGCCCAAGTCTCTATAAATATTTTAGATATTCTTGGGTTCACACTAAGTTATATTATGTTAATGTTGTGACAAAAAAATTTATTAACAGTAAGATTGAGCATTGTTTCATAATTGGTGTTCTCAGTTTCAGTGTTCTAGGATTATTGCGAAAATTTCTTTATTATATTATTTTGTAAATAGACAATCCTATCAAAAATATTCTATTTACTTATTGGTCTAATCTTATGTATTAAAACTAAAGCTGATCCTGGGTAATTTTTTTTGGAGGTTGTGATGAAAAGTTGATCACAAAAGGAAAAGGTTGTGGTCAAAGGCAGTTCAGGCTTCACAGATTCTGGCGAAACCCAGGGTAACTTACAACAATGTGATGTTGTACGTATGGTAGGATTGAAAGGTCATTATTCATCATGAGCTGTTACCGCCAGGTAGGACTGTCGATTCTGAACTCTATTTCGAACAACTGATGAGAGAAAGCAGCCAGAATTAATCAACAGAAGGGATGTGGTTTTTCATCATGATAATTCTAGACCTCAAACATCTTTAGCCACTCATGAAAAATTAAGAGAGTTTGACTAGGAGGTTTTAATGCATCCGCTGTATAGTCCTGACCTTGCACCTTCAGATTTCCACCTGTTGCTCAGAATTCTTTAGGCAGTGTATGGTTAACATCACGAGAGGACTGCCAAAATCACATGTCGCAGTTTTTTGATCAGAAGCCCCAAAATTTCTATAGCAATGGGATCATGCCCCTACCTACAATATGGAAAAAAGTTATCAAACAAAATAGCACCTACATACTTTAGTTAAAAGTAAATAAACTTTATTTACAATTGTTTTGAATTTTCATATAAAATGCGAAGAAACTTTTTCCCCAACCTAATATACAATTGTATTGACAAATTGAGAATCTTTTCATTTTTAAGCTGGGTAAATTTTTTGGAAAATCATATTGAGGTAATGTCCATTCCCTTAGATTCTAATATAAACAACTTTTTGAGTAATTAACTTATTTTCGCTATTGTAAAATTACTTTGTATGAACACACTCTTACTTTTTCTGATATTGTTTGTTTTTCTAGCAACGGGGACCTGTGTCCTGTCTCAAAATACCAGCAAATCCTTCACAACGGACCGGAGGGCTGGGTTCGTTGGGGTGCACGTTTGGCATTCAAACCGGCTGCGTTTGCTCTCACTGCAGTATCATCACTACTACCTGGCCGGCAAACTCTGGATAATGATGGCTTACCGAAAGCTAGCATTGACTCCACTCAGAGATTTGTCCTGGAGAGTGCTGTAAAGGTAATCTTCTTTTAACATTGAAAAATTATTATGGAATAAAAAAAAAAAATATGATTTTACCAAAATGGATGTTCTCCTTTGTTATTTAGTTTATTTTTAAGATATCTGAGGTGACAGTTGCACCACAAAATAGCTGTGGATTTAAATTAATGTTTACCACTTAGTGTGGTGGGACCATGGTAATAAATTACTTGAGGCCCAAACACAACGATATTAAATACCCTAGATACCCCAACACGAACACAATCGTGCCAGAAAACTGTCCAAAAGTTACATTGAACAATCCACGGAGCTCTGTAAGATGATTGTGTAGTCAAAATCAATATAAGGCAATATTTAAATATTGAAAGTAACCTTGAATACATACTGTATAAGGTCTTAAATAAAACGCATGCGTCAAGGACTTCTGACAGTTCGAAATGCAAGCTCGTAAAATTTTACGACTTATTGCTTTATGTGGAAGAATTCAGACCTTAGTTCTTTGACTCTACGCGCAATTCTGAACGCGCTAGCAGGCACGGACGAAATGACGACGTATAACCGACCATGCATTTGAATATCACAAATATTTTATATACTAACTGATTTAGTTTATAGTAATTATAACGGCCACCACTGGGCCTGCGTGTTGGGTCATGGCCCAATCTCCCTATTCCATCCATAGGGAAGGCCTGTGCCCCAGCAGTGGTGACATTAATAGGCTGATGATGTTGATGATAGTAAGTATTAGATCGAAATTTACTTCAAATGCTTTAAATTAACAATCATTGACCAGATACCTGTCGAAAAAATGACACTTCGTACTCTTAATATTAATTTCGCATTTTTTCTCTCTGCCCATCTTGGCTTTGTAACGGTCCGCGCGTGACTGTGAACCAAGAAGTGAGTGGTTGAGTGGAGTTCAAGCACTTCTTGATTGAGACACATTTTGAGCGCTCGTGGTGAATCTAGGCTATTTAATATTGTTGCCCATACACGAATTTTTGACATCTCCGTAACATATCGCATTGATATAGTTTCTATGAAAAAACACGAAGCACGCCCATACAGGACGTAAAAACAAACTGTACTCCCATACAAAATTTGGTGTGTTTTCTCCTTCCTACAATCTGTGGTACTTTGAGAGGTGTGGAGAAGCATTTTTGAAGGCTGGCAAGGTGAGGATGGTTGGTGTAGCAGTTTATAACTGCTGTAGGTACCAGCTATCTTCGCGTTTGAACTTTATCACCACTTAACATCAGGTGGGGTAGAGTCATTTGCCTATCTGGCTATATAAAAAATAAATAAATTATTATTTATATGATACGATATATGATACGTACTTGTCGATGTTCGTGCTGTCGATGTTCGTGCTTGAGCCTCTGCTACCAGTATTCAAAGCCAGGATATCTTCAAAATATTATTATTATTAATTAGCTGTGCCCTGCGGTGTTACCCGCGGTTTATTACGGATATTTTCCCGTAGTAAAACGTAGCCTATGTGTTAATCCAGGGTGTTAGTTAACTCCATACCAAATTTTATTAAAATCGCTCCAGCTGTTTAGACGTGAAGAAGTAAAAAACATACACAGATATTAATGAAAATCTTTTAAATAAGTTGGATCGTCTTCTCAATAACTGCATTCGCTTCATATATGGCCTACGTAAATACGACCATATCTCACATTTTCGTCATCAACTCAAATGGCTTCCTATGTGTTGTGCTCTTTTTAATCTTCTTTACGATCCACATACACCAGCTTACCTGAAAAGCAGATTTAGGTTTCTGTGTGATTCTCATGACCGTGTCCTCTGTTCAACGGACAACCTCCTTCAGCATACTCCCGTACACTGTTCTGGCTTCGTCTTATATTCAGTTACCATCACGGCTGTACGGCTCTGGAATGACTTGCCCACTAATATACGTAAAGCTCCTAACAAACTTGTATGTAAGGGATTGGTTCGTGAGCATTATCTTAATATAATTAATCTGCGTTCTCATATTTGACTGGCATAATTATGTGTATGTTTATGTATGTATTGTAGATAAAGCTTACATAATTAGATGTATGTATCTTTATATATACAGGGTGTGACAAAAGTCCGAAATAAAACTTTAGCGTTTGGTTGTGTTCCTTGTATAGAATTGCCTACGAAAGTTTGACGCCTTTCAGACCACTTTTATTTTCTAATTAAATTAATAAAAATATCGTTTTACACCTGCCTATGACAACCCTATAAATGCGTACAATTACTACTACCTAAACCGACCCCCCACCTCTCCCCCAGGCGCCCCTGCGCCCCGCTAAGATACCTACAAATTTTTATTTCGGAATACATACCTACAAATTTTATTTCGGAATTCTGTAACACCCTGTATAATTCTTCTGTGAGTGTGTATGTCACTGAACTTCTCTTAAACGACTGGACCGATTTTGATGAAATTTTTTGTGTGTGTTCAAGGGGATCTGAGAATGGTTTAGATTCACAATTTTGTCCGCTGGACAACCCCTATTTTTTTAGGGCGGTACGAAGTTCGCTGGGTCAGCTAGTTGTATATATATTTTAATATTTGTGTATACTATTGATATACATATATTACCTACCTGGTTTACTTAGCATATGTCCTTATTGCACCCCCGTATTTTTATTTCTCACGCTTTTACTGGTCGACTGGTAGAGAATGCCTTATGGCATTATGTCCGCCATTTGCTGTTTTTTGCAATGAAGTATAAATAAATAAATAAATACACACTCACAAACTTTCGGCTTTATAATATTAGATTTGATTTACACCAGGACCAAGCTATGGAATTGTTGAACACCTACCCATCGGACATCGAACGCATCGGCACCATCGACGAGTTGATGCGCCATTGCGAGTGGCAACACGGCAGGGAGACCTTCGAACTACTGCTAGGGTACTTGGTCGCTCAAGGGTACGCTGTGAAGAAAGATGACGTTGTTAAACTAGGTAAGCTCTAATCTTAATCTCGGCTCAATACCATGTCATTCTCATTTCAATCAGTTCTCAATCTCATCTCAACCTTATCTCAGACTCATCTTAATGTCATCACCATCTTATCTCAATCTCTTTATAATCATATCTCACTCTTGGCACAATCTCATATCAATCTATTTTCAATTGAATAGAAATTCATAGAAAAACAGAGAGAAACATGCGAAATTTCGATCGAAATTCTTTTTCGTTTCCAATTAGGTCTAATATATTTGTTCGCCTGCAAATAGATTAAGGTTTAGAATGTCTAAGCCTGCTTAACGAAATAAATAATTTTGTAGTTTATTTGTTCACATTGTAACCTCAAATTGACGAAATAAAACCTTTGAAATTCGTCACCAAAAGTGCTTTTCTGAGGAACAGAGTAGACCCCCTATTTTCAGACAGTATTCGAACCGGCACGTTCCGGAATCTGGGCGAACGCACTAACTAATTATGCTACCGATATTGTTGGGTTTCGAAAATGGATCCGTTTCGAATTACCAAAATGTCGGTGATGAAAGTGATGATGAAGAAGAAAAAAGGTGATGAAAATCTTCGGTCCTCGGATCCCTGGTGTGGACTGTATGTAGGTTTCCGGATTTAAAACGCTGGTTGTTGCTGTACTACTTCCTTTATTCTTCTGGCTAGTTTTTCACATGATGATTGTTCCTGGCTGACTACAATTTGCCTCACAAATGTTTCGTCTTACATAATAATTTGGCCCCGGCATTCCGGAGCCATCGACCAATCACAGCGCCCACTTTAATATGCATACCCCACGTGTCTTTTTTTAAAGTGTGCTTTTTGATTGGCAGTTCATCACGCGACTATTACTCCGTCGCATGATGCCCCGCCCTTTTAAAGTAGGCTTAGTGATTGGTCGGCTCGTTTTTTCTTGACTCGGGTGCACGGCTGTCGTCAACAGATATCATTTGTTTTTTTTAGTAAACTTTTTCTTTACAATAACTTTTTAATAACCATCATGTTCCTTTCCATCAGCTAACACCGACAAGAAAGTATCACCGGTAACCGAAACAGATGAGGCCATAGTGAAACTGATGTCAGCGGAGAGTCGATTGGAGGCCGAACTGTCCAAGTTGCTCAGAGACGCTTCAGCTGCAGAGAATGATGCCAGAGCTGCTTTACAGCTGGGGAATAAGTTGGCTGTAAGTATTCAAACCTGCGATCGTGGGAGTTAAGCAATTTTCTCAATGGTTGGTCATTGGATGGGTGACCAAGTGGCCAAGTTGGTCAGATCCGCTTCAGCTGCAGAGAACGATGCCAGAGCTGCTCTATAACTAGGGAATAAGTTGGCTGTACTTATTAATTATACTTATTAAGGACTGTTATCGTGGGAGTTAAGCAACTTTCGCAATGGTCGGTCTTTGGATGGGTGACCAAAAACTTATTATTAGCTGGAGAGAACGATGCCAGAGCTGCCTTACAACTGGGGAATAAGTTTGCTGTAAGTATTAAGGTCTTAATAAGGCGTGTGATCGTGGAAGTTAATCAACTTTTGCAATGGTCGGTCATTGGATGGGTAAAAAAAATGCTTCTTCACACCTCTTTTAAAGGACCCCAGATTGTAGGAAGGAGGGAGCACGTGCGCGGGTAAAGAATTCCACTTACGAATAGTACGGCAGAGAAATGAATCACCAAATTTCTTTGTTCGTGTAGGAATAGTGGCCACAGTAAGTCGGTGGCAACTAAGGCCAGCGCGCGTGGTCCTCTGAAGAAAAGGTGATTTAGGGATAAGGGAGAATAACTCCTCAGAACACTCCTCACACAATATTTTCTGTCTATATGAAGAACCATCTACATAATAGATTTTCTTTCATGTTTTCTTTGTCGCACTATTCGTAAGTGGAATTCTTTACCTGCGCACGTCCTTCCTATTGATGGTTGATGTAGCAGTTTATAACTTTATCATCACTTAACATCAGGTGGGGTAGAATCATTTGCCTACCTCGCTATAAAATGAAAAAAATGATATATGTATATTTTCTGTCTAGACGAAGAACCATCTACATAATAATATATTTTCTTTAATATTTTAATTTTTTTTTCTGCATAGGCCAAGAACCATCTACGAAAAAAGTTGAAAGCCCAACAGCGAGCAACTCGATGTGAATCTACTCTGGATAACGTTCGGCAATTGTTGCAACACACGAGGGATTCTCATGTCAATGCTGCCATTGTGGACACTTACAAGTATGTGTTACTGTGTTTGTTTTTTAGATTTTCACGCACATTACTCATTAAATAAAAAAAAATTCAACGGGTTAGCTGCACTGATTATATTCATTTGTTTGAAGTTTCGCAGCCTTTGCAGGAATGCATTGTCAGAATAATGATTTTTTATTTAGTTAGTCGAGCTACCTTCATAATACTTTTATTTAGCGTTCAGGTGTTTCATTGGAAGATTTTTAAAACTTTATTGTCTATGTATGAATTTATTAGTTAATTGAATTAATAAAGTATTTTATTTAGAGTGTTACTGTTATTTTGATCGGTTCTATTCATTGACCTTATTGTGTTCATTGGGCCTATTAGGTTATTTGACAGTATGAAAAATAATGTACCAATTGTTGGCATCTTCGATGGCGTTCGGTTGGCGCCGTCGAGGAGCTCGATGGCGCAAGTGGTTAGCGCGTTCGGCTGCGATCGTTGAAGTTAAGCAACTTTCGCAGTGGTCAGTAATTGAATGGGTGACCAAAAATTTACTATCTCGAGTTCCTCCGTGCTTCGGAAGGCACGCTAAGCCGTTGGTCCCGGCTGCATCTGCAGTCGTTAGCACCCGCCAATCCGCACTGGGCCCGCGTGGTGGGTCATGGCCCAATCTCCCTATTCCATCCATAGGGAAGGCCTGTGCCCCATCAATGGGGACATTAATAGGATGATGATGATGATGTTGGAATCTTTATTTAATAATAAATATTAGCAGCGATAAACAAAAGGGAATCTACCCGAATACCGGCGTACTCGACTGCGTTCATTTACACTTGTCGTTTACCCGAATTCCATTGGCACTCGTATTCGGGCTAGCGGCCAAGTGTAATAGGGATGATGACTAATTTTAATTTTTGACGTGACAACGTCTTAAATTAGGTTGCGGCTGGGAGTCACTTATGAAAAAGTGTAACGCTCGGTAACGTTACGATGAGTCTCTCGTGTTAAGTTTAAGTTTACATGTACAATGTTTTAGTAAACAAAATATATTTCTATAGTTAAAATTTGTGCAATTCTTATTTTCATTCAATTCCTTGTTCCTATTGTGCAATTTAATTATATTCATATCAATAAATATTCTACCGAGAAAAAGACGTTGTCACGTAAAGTCTTCGCCCGTAAAACCGACTTTACAGGCAACCATTTTTTATAATGTATTTTAGTTATTATTAAGGTTTTTTCTTCGTTTATCAGGTAGATTATCAAAAAGTATTGGACACGTGTTTTTTCTTTTTTCACATAATATAAACATTGCAGAGATATTATATTGATTTGAAAAGTCGCATGACTTCACGTTTGAGTGCACTTTTAAGTGAAAATTCACTAAAAAGTGACATCACGAGCCCCTACTACCAAACTTTGATGCGCTATAACTTTGTCATTTTTTGGTTGATAGCCCAAAGAAAAATTATGTGTCCATTATTTTTTGATCATCTGACGGACTAAATAGAATTTCGTTTACTGTATCCCGTCATCACCCCTATTGCGCCATGATTCTAGCCTCTCTTATACCCATTAATGTCCACAGAACTACATCGCAAGCCATGAAGAGAAACCTGAAGGATAACAATATGGACGAAGACGCTGTGCATGACACAATGGACGACTTGAAAGAGGTGAACCTTTGCAGTAATCTATATATACAGGGCGTCCCACGGGTACCTCACACGGAGGGAAAGTATATTAAATATTGAAGGTAGGATATTTTACCGAAACAAGACATCTTTTTATTTTTAATTATAACTAGAAATGCATTCATAGATTTTTTTAAAATCGCCTGCTACAACTGGGAATCAAGCTCGTGAAATTTTGAAAGAAAAACAAGACATATTTTATGATAACCATCGAAAGGATTAATTATAAGGATTATTTTTTGCTTAATAACATAGCATTTTAAATGAAATAAAAGTAATTAAATTTAACATTTTATTTAAAATTATTTAACATAAACTAAAATAAAATCGAATACGCCTCAAAGTAAGTTAAAATGTTGAGTTCATCATCGTTGACATTTATCATTCGCTGCTGTGGTTTCTGTAAGCGCATATCAACGTCGTCTTAAGTTTCCTAAAGAATCCACTAACATTTTAAACATATATCGAGAAGGTACGTCTCTATCAGGATATCTTTCGCGGTACCACCGAAAAGCTATTATGTCTTTGTGGTTTATAAAGTAAGCTTCCATTAAATCTATTTTATTTTGATACGCCATGGTAAGTAAATTAACAAATAATTGCAATTAAACGAAAATGAAACTCGCAAAAATATAAAGTTGAATACAAAATCTCCTCTTTTTTTTAGTCGGTTAAAAAACCAAAGAAAAGTCGCTTGAAAATTTATGTGTTCCATTTTCGAATTATTATTTTTATAAATTTCAGCCAATCACATTGTAACTGTGAGTTCAAAAAGAAAATTAAATGCATACGTACTACAGTTTGTATATCACTTTATTATTTTTATCACGTAATAAGACATTCTATTCATTTAAAATGCTATGTTATTTAGCAAAAAAATAATCCTTATGATTAACCCTTTTGATGGTTATCATATAATATGTTGTGTTTATTTTTCAAAATTGCACGAGTTTGATTCCCAGTTGTAGCAGGCGATTTTTAAAAAATCTGTGAATGCAGTTTTAGTTATTATTAAAAATTAAGTGATGTCTTCTTTCAGTAAAATATCCTATCTTCAATATTTACTATACTTTCCCTCCGTGTGAGGTTGCCGTGGGACACCCTGTATACTAGCTGACCCAGCAAACTTTGTTTTTTTTTTGTTTTGACTATTAAAAAATAGGGGTTGGTGATAGAAGGGTGAAAATTTAGGGTTGTATGTAATTTTTAATGCAACATTATAAAAGAATAAAAAAAAATGTTCAATAAATAAAAATAAATGTTAGTGGTGGACAACCCTTATTACTTAGGGGTACGAAAAATAGATAGTAGCCGATTCTCAGAACTACTGAATATGCATGTAAAAATTCATAAAAATCGCCACGCTGTGACATTCTGTCTCGCTAAAACTCGAGAACGGCTGAACGGATTTATCTTATCCTGGTCTCGAAATGTTCGTGGAGGTCTAGGGAAGGTTTAAAATATGGGAAAATATGGAAAAACTGCGAGGAAGATAGTAAAAACGTCAATTTAATTTCTGTCCTGTCAAACTGTATATTTGACGTTCGTCCCTTTTGGTACGGTAGACTCGGGTCCGTCATTTCTTCCAAATTATTTTAACCCGTACGAAGTACGCGGGGTCAACTAGTTGTTAATATAAAGTAGTTGAGACTGGCTTTATAGCCAGTCTCTTAACACTATGAGGTCACAGATACTATATTCTGTCCAAAAAGAGAATCCATGAGCCAAAACAAAGCTCTTTTAAGGCGAAATTTAAATAAAAAACTGCGAGCAGCGCGGTTGTTTAAAACTGTACCCTTAGCACGAACCATTATCGAAATCGAATAGTTTGCGAGTCCGAATTGTCATTGTCAAATTTTGTATGAATACTTGAACATTAGCGCCATAACGTACGTAACGAGAACTAAAAATCAGTACACGTTTGACAATGAAATTTCGTATTCGCAAACGATACGAATGCGATATTGGTTCGTGCTAAGGGTATTGGTAGCTATAGCTTCCACGGACTGTTGAGTTATTTACGCGACTGGTAGCTATAGCTACCACGGACTGTTTGTGTTTAAGAGAGGTAGGGCATGGCGGATTTTTCGCTCGAATCGGAAATCCCCCGTCTGAAGAAATTGAAGGGTTATGGGCATAAAAGAAAGAAAATTAGTAGGATAATGGAGATATAAGCTAAAAGAGAAGGAGAGAAAGAAAATGTGCGCGCGCACTGCCTTTTCTTGCTTATATCCCCCACTCAAGCCCCGTTTGCCTCGCCCGAATACACTTTTCGTAACGCGTAACGCATTCGCTATCTTACCCCCCAAGTCAAGCGTGCCTAAAGAAGTTTCACTTCAAAAATGGACACATATTTTTACTTTTACATTACAGTGTAAATTTGATTTGAAATGTCGCATAGCGTCACGTCTTGGTACAATTTTTACAAAGTAGTGATGTCAAAAAGCCCCACTCCCAAACTTTGATCCTTTAAAAAAATTTATTGATTGACAAAAGATAAAATAATTGTCCGTTATAATGTAATATATAAAATTCTCGTGTCACGGTGTGCGTAATTGAACTCTTCCAAAACGGCTCGACCGATTTTCGTGAAACTTTATATGCATATTCAGTAGGTCTGAGAATCGGACAACATCTATTTTTCCCCCCTTAATTTTAAGGGTGGTGCCTTAAATTTTTTTTGGACATTTTCTTTTGTTTTTTTTTATGATACATCATACAAAAATACATACAACCCTGAATTTTCACCCTTCTACCACCAACCCCTATTTATTATGGCGGTACGGACTTCGCTGGGACAGCTAGTTTTTTTATAAATCTTAACTGCCGGACTAAACAGAATTTGGTTTTTTCAAATTTATTTACTGTCAAAACATTTTTGCAACTTACTTGCTGTCGAGTGTATGTATGTACCTGGTTATGACGATCTTTTATACGCTTTTATTTATATTTATATATTCTTCAGAGGAGCTCGATGCCGTAAGTGGTTAGCGCGTTCGGCTGAGGTCGTTGAAGTTAAGCAACTTTCGCAGTGGTCGGTCATTGGATGGGTGACCAAAAATTTACTATCTCGAGCTCCTCCGTGCTTCGGAAGGCACGTTAAGCCGTTGGTCCCGGCTGCATCTGCAGTCGTTAGCACCCACCAATAAGCACTGGGCCCGCGTGGTGGGTCATGGATGGAATAGGATTATAGAATAGGATTCTCTATGGATGGAATAGGGAGATTGGGCCGTGACCCACCACGTGGGCTCAGTGCCCCAGCAATAGGGACATTAATAGGCTGATGATGATGATATATTCTTTAGGTAATGGAGTCGTACAGTGAAATTGAAGAGGCTCTCAGTTCTGGCGCCACGGAATTCGACACGGCCGATTTGGAACAAGAATTGAAGGAACTTTTGGCCACGCCGCCTTCAAAGCCGAAAGGTAATTTCAACCTTAGAGATAACTTTTGTCTAAAGCCCGGATCGTCAGCATAAGTTTTTTGAAAACATTCAACAACAAAACTGTTTTCATTTAGATAGTTGCCAAATTCTACTGATATTGTAGGAAGGCCAAAGAGAAAGATCTTCCTCCGAGCTGGGTGGTGATGGTAGCTCGGGGGCCGCAGCCCGACTGATGTTGGTCGGGCATCGTATATATGAAGAGTTAGCCTCCGAATTTCATTTGCGCGATGTAGGCCTCCATACTATTATGATCGCAGTGCAGATAACGCCATCTCTTGAGGATGATGAGTGATGATTTCCTCCATCCGTTGTATATATGTGGGGCAAATAGATGTCGCCGCCACAATATTATTGAGATTTTTACGACCTCCGTGGCCGAGTCATTTGTACGCCGGGTTTCATGGTGTCGCCGACTCGAGAGGTCCCGGGTTCGAATCCCGGTGGGGGCAGATGTTTGTGTGATGAATACGTGCATTTGTACTCCAGTCATGGATGTTTAATATGTATTTCTATATAAATATACTTATATATGTACAATATATGTATTCTATCCGTTACCCTAGTATCCCATAACACAAGCCTTATAGTGCTTACTTTGGGGCTAATTGGTGTGTGTAAGTTAAGATATAAGTAAGATATTGATTTTGTTAATAAAAATTGGACAGAAATCGAAGGTCTCCTGTTAAAAGCAAATTTTCTTCAACAGACACAAAGTTTACGCCAAAGGAGAAATCCAGAAAGGTTTCCGAGAGAGATTTCGTATTCGACGGCGAGGCTAGAGTACTGGCCGAACTGGACCAGTTAGACGTAGAGAATGGCAGTCCGAGGGAGAAGGACGGCACGCGTGCGAGAGAGACGGCACGAGTCGCTATACCGGAAGGGGTGGAGGGGGGTGGTGAGTAATCCATACATGAGCATAGATAGTATTAACTATCTTTTTCTTTTTTAGAATGGCGCAGAACATTTTTTTTGGGGATAAAACGTCATCGTATCTTTTAATTGAGGAGCTCGATGAAGCAGTTGGTTAGGACGTTCGGCAGCGATCGTTGAAGTTAAGCAACTTTTGCAGTGGTCGGTCATAGGATGGGTGACCAAAAATCTTCTATTTAGGGTTCCTCCGTGCTTCGGAAGGTACGTTAAGCCGTTGGTTTCGGCTGCCGTTAGCACCCGCCCATCCGCACTGGGCCGGCGTGGTGGGTCATGGCCCCATTTCCCTAGTGCCCCAGCAGTGGGGACATTAATAGACTAATGATGATGATCTGTAAAAACAGCATGTCCTTGTCATCCTCTTTAATGAATGAAAAGAAGAGACTGATGTTAAATGTAGTTGCAAAAAATCAAATGCGAAATTTTGTTCAGTTACTTCATTTAGATCGCCGCGCCGGGAAAAGATCGAATGTGAGAGAAGGACGGCAAGCGTGTGAGCGAGAAAGCTCATTTCTGAAGGTCAGTAAGGTAGTGGAAAGTTATTATATATATAATGCGATTCAAATAAGAATAGGAAAGCCAATGACCTCCATCTGTCAAATGTCGCCGAAAAAGTACGGTTTGCAAAAAAATCTCAGAACACTTTTTTAGCACTCAGCTGATTCTAGAATAAAAACCAAACATATTTAAACAAACAATAACAAATGTTGATAATTAATATTAGTTGTTTTTTTTTTCATTTATTTAGCTTTGGCTATGAATGGTTGATAATCTAAATCGTCAACCAAATGTCACTTTATGTTGCGTTCAAAAACTCGATTTAAAACTTTCGTTTACATATAGGATGCATGTTCGTATGTGACCTGCATGATTATTCATAACTTCTCTGGGGTAATCCAGAGTTGAGCGAAATTGAAGAGCTAGATTCTTATTAATGTTTTTTTTTCACACAGTCTTAATAAAGAAATAGTACCTAAATTAATTTTGTTAAAAAAACCTGATGTTTTATCTCACTTAATCTTAGTAAATAAGTTTCATTAAATAGCAACATTTTTTTGCTCACTCTACCTATTTTGTTTGAATTGACAGCTATGACGTCAAAATATGGCGCTCAGTCGATCCTGTTCTTAGTTGAATCGTATTATAGAATAATTCGTATTCGACGGAGAGGCTAGAGTACTGGCCGAACTATACCAGTTAGACGTAGAGAATGGCAGTCCGAGAGACAAGGACGGCACGCGTGCGAGCGAGACGGCACGAGTCGCTATACCGGAAGGGGCGGTGGGGGGTGGTGAGAAATCCATACTAATACTATCTTTTTCTTTTTTAGAACGGCGCAGTAGATTTTTTCCGGATAAAACGTCATTAAATAAATAAATGATAAATAAATATTTCCAACACACACCAATTAGCCTAGCCCCAAATTAAGCACTATAAGGCTTGTGTTATGGGATAGAATACACATACTTTACATATATAAGTATATTTATATAGAAATACATATTAAAACATCCATGACTGGAGTACAAATGCTCGTGTTCATCACACAAATATCGTCGGCGACGCCATCAAAACAACCCACTCGGCCACGGAGGTCGTCATCTGTCATCATTCTATCTGTAAATCTAGGTTATAAACTATATGCATACCAATTTTCATCCAAATCCGTTCTGTAATTTATGCGAGAAAGAATAAAAAATATCCATACAAACTTTTGCGTTTATAAAATTATAATATAATACAGGCGTACTCGACTCCGGTCATTAACACTTATGGCGCGATTACACTTGCTCGTTAGCCCGAATATGAGTGGAAATGGAATTCGGGTAAACAACTATAGTCTGTCCATTCTATTATTATCTTTTTAACAGATTGACGCCCATGAAATTTTGTATTGTTAACGTTAAAATGTCATACAAATAATATTGTACTTCATGGACGGGTACCGCCCACTTAGTGATGTGCCACTCATAATGATTACTAAGATTGTGCCACAGACTACAAATAATCGGTAGAAATTCGGCTGAACTCATTTGAGTACAGCCGAATTGTAAGGTAAGAAGGTGATATATTTTTTTATAAACATTTTTTTAAATGAAAATGAAATTATTAATTATAATCAATAAATCTAATTGTACAGAGTATTGGTATTAGGATAAACAAACATATAAAAAGTATACTGCTTTTTTGTTGTATATACATACATATTATAGATAAATCACACCCAGACACAGAACAAATACTCTTGCTCATCACACAAATATTTGTACTAGGTAAATAATAAATCTAATGAGATTTTGTAATAATTTATTAAACACCAGTATTTTAGATAACTAAAATAATTTCGATACTTATAATCGATTAAACAATGTTCTAGCATAAAATCGATTATAGCTTTAAATCGAACGAGTTATGTGGTGAGGTGTCACTATTTTTACTTCGATAAATCTGTCAAAAAGGTAATAATAAAAGTAAGGTAGAATGGACAGACTATAAGTGTAAATGAACGGAGTCGAGTTTTAGGGGTAGTTTTCCTTTTGTTTACCCGCCACCATCTTCTAGCCCGTATTCTAGTGTAAATATTGCTTCGGGTGCCCGAATTCGAGTAATGTCTTTCGTGCACCCAAAAATGGGCTAATGACCAAACGTAAATGCGCCATTAGTCGTTTACCCGTATTCCATAGGCAATAACGGGTTAATTTCGGGTTACGACCAAATGTAATCGCGCCATAAGGGGCATTAATTCAAAATGTTTGCTTCATAGAAAAACTTGTACTTAGCAGTATCTGAAGAAACCAGCGCAGCAGTGGTATCCACCTAGTTGCCTAGCTAGTAGCCCAGCTAGCAGCCTAGCTAGTTGCCCAGCTAGCAGCCCAGCAAGCAGCCTAGCAAGTCGCCCAGCTAGCAGCCTAGTTAGTCGCCCAGCTAGCAGCCTAGCTAGCAGCACAGCTAGCAGCCTTGCTAGTTGCCCAGCTAGCAGTCTAGCTAGCAGCCTAGCTAGTCGCCCAGTTAGCAGCCTAGCTAGTTGCCTAGCTAGCAGCCTAGCTAGCAGCCTAGCTAGCAGCCTAGCTAGTCGCCCAGCTAGTTGCCCAGCTAGCAGCCGGGCTAGTTGCCTAGCTAGCCAAGCTAGCAGCCTAGCTAGTTGCCTAGCTAGCAGCCTAGCTAGTTGCCTTCCTAGCAGCCTAGCTAGTTCCTTCGCTAGCAGCCTAGCTAGTTGCCCAGCTAGCAGCCTAGCTAGTTACCTAGCTAGTAGTCTAGCTAGTTGTCCAGCTAGAAGCCTAGCTAGTTACCTACCTAGTAGTCCAGCTAGCAGCCTAGCAAGTTGCCTAGCTAGTGGCCTAGCTAGTTCCCAGCTAGCAGCCTAGCTAGTCGCCCAGTTAGCAGCCTAGCTAGTCGCCCAGCTAGCAGCCTAGCTAGTCGCCCAGCTAGCAGCCTAGCTAGTCGCCCAGCTAGCAGCCTGGCTAGTTGCCTAGCTAGCAGAATGGACAGACTATAAGTGTAAATGAACGGAGTCGAGTTTTAGGGGTAGTTTTCCTTTTGTTTACCCGCCACCATCTTCTAGCCCGTATTCTAGTGTAAATATTGCTTCGGGTGCCCGAATTCGAGTAATGTCTTTCGTGCACCCAAAAATGGGCTAATGACCAAACGTAAATGCGCCATTAGTCGTTTACCCGTATTCCATAGGCAATAACGGGTTAATTTCGGGTTACGACCAAATGTAATCGCGCCATAAGGGGCATTAATTCAAAATGTTTGCTTCATAGAAAAACTTGTACTTAGCAGTATCTGAAGAAACCAGCGCAGCAGTGGTATCCACCTAGTTGCCTAGCTAGTAGCCCAGCTAGCAGCCTAGCTAGTTGCCCAGCTAGCAGCCCAGCAAGCAGCCTAGCAAGTCGCCCAGCTAGCAGCCTAGTTAGTCGCCCAGCTAGCAGCCTAGCTAGCAGCACAGCTAGCAGCCTTGCTAGTTGCCCAGCTAGCAGTCTAGCTAGCAGCCTAGCTAGTCGCCCAGTTAGCAGCCTAGCTAGTTGCCTAGCTAGCAGCCTAGCTAGCAGCCTAGCTAGTCGCCCAGCTAGTTGCCCAGCTAGCAGCCGGGCTAGTTGCCTAGCTAGCCAAGCTAGCAGCCTAGCTAGTTGCCTAGCTAGCAGCCTAGCTAGTTGCCTTCCTAGCAGCCTAGCTAGTTCCTTCGCTAGCAGCCTAGCTAGTTGCCCAGCTAGCAGCCTAGCTAGTTACCTAGCTAGTAGTCTAGCTAGTTGTCCAGCTAGAAGCCTAGCTAGTTACCTACCTAGTAGTCCAGCTAGCAGCCTAGCAAGTTGCCTAGCTAGTGGCCTAGCTAGTTCCCAGCTAGCAGCCTAGCTAGTCGCCCAGTTAGCAGCCTAGCTAGTCGCCCAGCTAGCAGCCTAGCTAGTCGCCCAGCTAGCAGCCTAGCTAGTCGCCCAGCTAGCAGCCTGGCTAGTTGCCTAGCTAGCAGAATGGACAGACTATAAGTGTAAATGAACGGAGTCGAGTTTTAGGGGTAGTTTTCCTTTTGTTTACCCGCCACCATCTTCTAGCCCGTATTCTAGTGTAAATATTGCTTCGGGTGCCCGAATTCGAGTAATGTCTTTCGTGCACCCAAAAATGGGCTAATGACCAAACGTAAATGCGCCATTAGTCGTTTACCCGTATTCCATAGGCAATAACGGGTTAATTTCGGGTTACGACCAAATGTAATCGCGCCATAAGGGGCATTAATTCAAAATGTTTGCTTCATAGAAAAACCTGTACTTAGCAGTATCTGAAGAAACCAGCGCAGCAGTGGTATCCACCTTGTTGCCTAGCTAGTAGCCCAGCTAGCAGCCTAGCTAGTTGCCCAGCTAGCAGCCCAGCAAGCAGCCTAGCAAGTTGCCTAGCTAGCAGCCTAGCTAGTCGCCCAGCTAGCAGCCTAGCTAGTCGCCCAGCTAGCAGCCTGGCTAGTTGCCTAGCTAGCAGCCAAGCTAGTTGCCCAGCTAGTAGCCCAGCTAGCAGCCTAGCAAGTCGCCCAGCTAGCAGCCTAGCTAGTCGCCCAGTTAGCAGCCTAGCTAGTCGCCCAGCTAGTAGCCCAGCTAGCAGCCTAGTTAGTTGCCCAGCTACCAGCCTAGCTAGTTGCCCAGCTAGCAGCCTAGCTAGTTGCCCAGCTAGCAGCCTAACTAGTTGCCCAGCTAGCAGCCTAGCTAGTCGCCCAGTTAGCAGCCTAGCTAGCAGCCTAATAACTTGCCTTGCAAGTTGCCTAGTTAGTTGCCGAGCTAGCAGCCTAGCTAGTTGCCTAGCTAGAAGCCCAGCTAGCAGCCTAGCTAGTTGCCCAGCTAGCAGCTTGGCTAGTTGCCTAGCTAGCAGCCAAGCTAGTTGCCCAGCTAGCAGCCTAGCTCGTTGCCTAGCTAGTCGCCCAGCTAGCAGCCTAGCTTGTTGCCCAGCTAGCAGCCTAGCTAGTTGCACAGCTAGCAGCCTAGCTAACAGCCTAGCTTGTTGCCCAGCTAGCAGCCTAGCTAGCAGCCTAGCTAATTGTCCAGCTAGCAGCCTAGCAAGTTGCCTAGCTAGCAGCCTAGCTAGTTGCCCAGCTAGTAGCCTAGCTAGTTGCCCAGTTAGCAGCCTAGCAAGTTGCCTAGCTAGCAGCCTAGCTAGTTGCCGAGCTAGCATCCTACCTTGTTGCCCAGCTAGTAGCCTTAGTTAATTGCGGCATTAATCGTTTACCCGTCTTCCATAGGCACTCATATTCGGGCTAGCGTAATGTAATCGCGCCATAAGGGGTATTAATTCAAAATGTTTGCTACATAGAAAACCCTGTACCTAAGCAGTCTCTGAAGAAACCAGCCCAGCAGTGGTATCCACCGATCTCCAACGTTCTCCGGCCCGAGGAAGCGTGGGCTGATAACAATCTGAATTCGTTGGATAGCTCGCTGGACAGACTTGCCAGCAGCTTCGGGGAACTGAGGACCGATGACAGATTACATCCAGGTAAATAATCATAATCAGAGTCATTTATTCAGTTTAGGCTGTTATAAGCACTCTTGAATGTCTAGAAGCTACGCCATCGGTTCGTAAAGCTACGACGGGAGACCTTGTACTGAGAAGAACCGGCAAGAAACTCAGCAAGGGCTGGTTTTTTCTCTCTGTTTTATTATTATTTACAGAGTCGTGAAGTTGAAAAATGACTTCAGATATGATTCATTAAGTCACCTTTCATTACATAATGTGAATTAATTGCTCACATGCATTTTGATTGCTGTGTCGTACAGTACATTTACATCTTAAATATCAAAGTAGTTAGAAGAGACTTATCTCCGCTGGCAGCACCCGTTCACGAGCATGACGAACCAGCCATCGCTTCGCTCAACCATATTTTAGGGAACCCGCCTCACACGAAAATAAAAAGTTAAGGGCTAAAAGAAAAACTAAATAAATGTATATGTCTCCGAAACACTAACTGCTAAAACTTAAAAAAATATTTTATTTGGCGAGGGAATTTGCGCGAAATAACGTTTACTCCTACTGTTGGACTTCAAAAGGTTCATAGTTCACTTACGCAAATCCGATGGTGTACAGCCAATTCGTGTCATTTCCGAAACTGATTTAAAGAGACTCAAAAGTACAGAATGACAATTTGTACTTAGTTAGAGTTAAAATGTACTTGGTGTACTTTTTTACAGCCATTTTAACACTTATTTCATCAGTTTTCATTCATGAATACATCAAATGATATCTGATAATGATCAACTGATAGTTGAGCTTGAGCTCCTTTCTTCTTGTTGAGCTTGAGCGTCCTTGAGGATCCGAAAAAAAAAACAGCAGTGGTATCCACCTAGGCATGGCTAGCTAGGCATAGCTGCCTAGTTAGGCAGCTATGCATTGCAAATGCAAAAAATTGCAAATGCATAGAATGCATTTGTGATGCTAGCAGCCTAGTTGCTTAACTAGCTGGCCAGCTATTTGCCCAGCTAGTAGCTTAGCTAGCTGCTTAGCTAGTTGCCTAGCTAGCTGCTAAGCTTGTTGGCTAGTTAGCAGCCTAGCTAGCAGCCTAGTTAGCAGCCTAGCTAGCAGCCTAGCTAGCAGCCTAGCTAGTTGCTACCTGCCTTGCTTGCTCTTTAGCTAGCAGCCCAGCTAGCAGCCTAGTTGCTCGGCTAGCGGCCCAGCTAGTTGCCCAGCTAGCGGCCCAGCTAATTGCCTAGCTAGCAGCCTAAACTAGCTGCTTAGCTAGCTGAGTAGCTAGTGGCCTAGCCGGTTGCCCAGCTAGCTGCCTAGCTTCTTGCTTAACTAGTTGCCCAGCTAGCAGCCTAGCTATTTGCTTAGCTAGCATCCTATCTAGTTGCCTAGCTAGCAGCCTAGCTAACTGCCGAGCTATTTGCCTAGTTAGCTGTCCATCTAGTTGCCTAGGTTGTGACGGTAAAATTTTGCCTAGCTGGGAGCTAGGCTAGCTATGGCCGTCCGAAAAGGTACTTCGCTCAAAGAATAATCACATAAAGGACAATATATGTTCATTAACATGTATGTTATATATAGAGAGCTATATTAGAGCTATATATAGCTTCATTGTAATTTTCGAAATGTTTAAATTGTACCTGATTGCAATTTAGTTAAATACAAAATCAATGCATTTATATGCTGTTGTTGTTTTTTTTTTTATTATTATTTATTGCAACATGCTTAAAATTAAATTACATATATAATCCACTTAATGGATTGTTAATATGTAGCATCCGCCGTAGCAGAAGTTGCAGATATAGATGTTGATCTTAATTTTACTTAATTTTTATTATTAATAATAAATATGTTTCAAAATATGATTCTATATTCTAGTTAAACATTGTGTGCAACATTTACTGGTATTTATTTTTATTGTGAAACTTAATTTAAGGTATTATGTAAATGTATCAAATGGTTTTCTGTAGTTGTGCCATTCAATAAATAAATATTTATACAATCTCCCAGGTCAACCGCTGAACGTGGACTTCACCACACCCCCGAAGCTGTACAGCTCGGAGTTCCAGGTTCGAGACCACAAATACTCCGGTGGAGTGTGGTTGTACAGTAACCGGGACAATAACCCGAACAGCGCTACGAGGGATGCCAATAGTAACGTGGACAGCGATCTGACAGCCAGCACGGAGTATTTCAGGTGAGATTGGCTGTTATTAATCCTACTAATCCTGCTAAGACTAATAACAGAAAATAAATCTTAATTAAGGCTAACTTTTCTTCTAACATTATAACTGTGGTCTGTGTAAATGGCAATATTTCCAAAACTCACACCAATTAGCCTAGCCCTTAAGTAAGCGTTCTAGGCTTGTGTTATAGGATACTAGGGTAACGGATAGAATACTACTATAAGTATATTTTTAAATAAATACAATATATTAAATATCCATGACTGAAGTACAAAGCTCGTGTTTATCACACAAACATATGCCCCCACCGGGATTCGGACCCGGGACCTCTCGAGTCGGCGACTCCTTGAAACCCGGCGTACAAACCACTCAGCCACGGAGGTCGTCAATTATGATTATTGGTCAAACTTTTAAATATTATTCAGTCAACAGTGTATGAAAAATAGCGCTCTAAACCCCTGTCTGTGTTAGCCCTCCTTTTGTTTTTGACGGCTGTATTTTTTTAATTTCCTGTCGATTTTCCTTTGTTATTCTCAGGCTTCATTTATGTCTTAAATCAATCCTGAATAGTTTCTCTACAAACCTATCTATATATTAGATGAAAATATTTTTCTCATCTCTCGGCAGAAATCTGCCATTTGCACAGATCAGGGGGTCATTCGCCTAATGTAATTACTATGGCTGTCGCTATCGCTTACGTTTGTTTTTGTTATTTCCCGACCGCCGAAGGTTTTCAAATACCTTGCGCTCATTTTCTTTAATATTGTTGTTACCAATAGCAAAAGAAAAGAAGCGCGCGGGGCATTTGATTGCCTTCGGCGGTCAGAAATAATGAACGATGAATCGACGCTATACTGGTGAATTGTTCCGAAATATATAGGCCAGTGCACTGACGTCATAAATCGAAGAAATATTAAAAATTGTGCAAATTAAGAAGATTTTTTATTCACCTCATCAATTAAAAGGAATTCTTTTTGTACAGATGCCATTTTTTTTCTTTAAATAAAGAAGAAATAAAATTCGAATGCATCTCACGCACGCTCGGTCATACGTCATTCGTTTCCCGGTAATAATATGGTAGCATACCAGTACAAGATGGCGCCAGATTCGTGACGTCATTACCACAGGCCAGTATACTGATATGTATTTCGGAATACACCCATCGTAAGCGATAGCGAAGCCATAGCAATCCCGTTAGGCGAATGGCACCCCGGAGTTATTAATAAATTGTTACTATCCAATAGTTCGGAGAGCCCAGGCAAAGCCGGAGGTTCCTTCCAAATGGCCCCCGGTGGTGAGAGGCAAAGACGGGGAGAGTGGCCCCAAGAGAAGTCCGTAGAAGATATCGAGAGGAGACTTAAAAACCTGCGTGGGTTCAACTTATAATGGCAGTGGTTGTGGTGAATGCTAAAGTGAAAACCAAGTGATTAAAGTGATACAGTGTTTTAATAGTGTACAGTGAACAAAGTGTTATAGTAATGGCACAATTCCATTTGGTCGTATGCCCGAACACGATTGCCTATGAAATTCGATCAAATGACTAATGGCGCAATGACATTGGACGTTAGCCCGTATTCGGGTGCACGAAAGACATTACTCGAATTTGGGCACCCGAAGCAATATTTACACTGGAAAACGGGCTGGAAGACAGTGTTGGGTAAACAAAAGGTAATTTACCCGAGTACGGTCATACTCGAATCCTTTCATTTACACTTACTCGTTTACCCGAATTCCATTGGCAATCGTATTCGGGCTAACAACCAATTGTTATCGCGCCATAAATGTAAACGCACGGAGTCGAGTGTGCCTGTATTTGGAAAGTTGTTATTTTGATTAATCAGCGATGTTTTGCAGACCGTGTTCGAGTAAAAACAATTTATATATTGCATCATGTGATTACGAGTAATTTCTTTCATGCACCCGAATATGGGCTAACGATCACGTGTAAATGAGGCTTAAACACTTTTTTACGGACTTAAAACGGGTTTGTTTTAATTTAACACAGAACCTGTAAAAGGCCCAAAAACGTTGTGTATAATGTGAATACGTGTTTTATTAAGGTGCACTTGCAACAAATTTGCTAAATCTCAATTCAAGTAAAACTAATTTCCACTTCCACTTCCACTTTGGGTATTATGGCTCCATCGTTATGCACGATGATTCTGCCAATGTCAGGGTTAAGAAAGGCACTGTTATATGGTACTCTTCTTTGTACGGTGTGGTAGCCTGGTTTCCTCGTGGAGCTATCGCGTGGAGTTGAGCTTCTAGAATAAGACAACACATATATCATCACAAGCGGACATGTACCCAAGCATACAAATTGTTAGTGTCTTTATTAGTGTAGTAAAGCATTGGAATTGGATTGTAAGAGATGACACGGCAAAGTATATAAATAGTTTGGACATCATTAAGACACTGTTGTTAAAAAACTAGTTTAAACCCATTGAAAAATGACAAAACGTCAATGTCAGTTTGACATTATTGTATTGACTAAATTTAGTTTTAGTTATATTTTTTATTTTTTAACCATGTAACTGCTTGATGTTTAAATCTAAAGAAAATATAACTAGAAAAAAATCCTCGCGGGCCAGGCAGCAGACGGTACTCGAACCCGCACCCTTCGCTATCTGGGTGAATGAACTAACCAATTATGCTATCGCGGCATTGATGGCCGTGTCGAAATTCTTCTAGCCATTCTTAAGCTGTAAGGCAGCGCCATCTCTTCGCATTGTAGGTAACCCACAATTAGAAAAAAAAACTTATTTTTTCTAGTTATATTTTCTTTAGATTTAAACATCAAGCAGTTACATGCTTTAAAAATAAAAATAATAACTGTAATTGCTATCTCTTCTTTAAAACGTTTAAAGAAGAATTTAATGAAGAACAAACTTTTACTTGTAAAAGTATTCATTTGACATTGTGGGTTACTTACAATGCGAAGAGATGACGCTGCCTTGCAGCTTAAAAATGGCTAGAAGTATTTCGACGCGGCCATCAGGGCCGCGGTAGCATAATTGGTCAGTGCATTCACCCGGATAGCGAAGGGTGCGGGTTAGAGTCCCCTCTGATGCCTGGTCCGCGTGGATTTTTTTAGTTTTAGTTCGACCAGCATATTTGCTCAATGAAAAATTCCATTAAACTAAAACCAGATTTAACCCATAGAAAATGTCTAAACGTCATATCAATTTTGCAATATTGTATAGGTTAAATCTAGTTTTAGTTAAATTGAGATTTAGCAAAATTGCTGCAAGTGGAAGTTAATGTGTTTGGTGTGTGTGAAAACATATGAAATAATTAACTTAATACAGAAGGGCTTAATAAAAAACACGAGTCTGTTTATTGAATCAACTAATCTAATTTTAACAGCCTCCCAGAGCTCAGAGACAGAAACAATATATTTTAGTGCCATCGATTGTGTAAATTCAGATATAACTAATTATTATATTTGTCTGTTTATAAATTTAGATAGTTAATTCTAGTAGTAGTGTATATATGATGTGTTCTGCCATGCTGGGTGTCTCAAATGATTGCATATGTTATTCAATTTTGTATGTTAAGATTTTATATCCTTTTTTGAGAAAGTCATACTAACTATGAATCAAACTGAGTACCATTATTTAATGGTATTTATCCTCAGATATATCACGGATATACACTTTCAGACACATCTGTCGGCCCACCCAACGTTACAAGCTTCAACGGTATGTAGTAAAAATATATGTTAGGTTAGGTTTGAGATATATATATTCTTGTGATATATTATTTTATGGTTTGATTTTATTAAGAATTTGAGTTATTATTTTAATAATAATATCTAGAGGGGGTTATATAAGACAAATTTTTATCCTGATTTTTGTATGTTTAATCTAATTATATTATTAATTATGTTACTTCTAACATTTAAAAACACAGAATTAATAAAAAAAAAAACAAAAGATGGTTCATTAGTCAGCTGCAAAACTGAGTAAAAACTTTTTGCTCAAATGGACCATTTCATTTTAGCCATCTCCGCTAGGTGGGCCGATAGGTGTTCCTGGGAGTATATTTCAATAAATTATTAATCTTACAATTGCTCATATAAAACTTGTTATTTACTTGCTTGCTGTAGAGCTTAATTAGATGTAATTAGCAGTCATATTGTTTTAAAACATGCAATATTTTTTCCACAAACATTAAGGTCATCAAACTCAAATATTGCACCTAATATATAACAGTGAAATTTACCAAAAAAAAAAATTAATTAAAAAAATGATATTTTTTTTTGCTTAAAATCCATTTCTATTATCACACTATTAAATGAATTGCTTTTACACCAAGACTTTAGGATTACTGACTGAACTCAGACGAGTTAGTCGGTATGGTTGACATATTTCCATTCCAGGGTATTTGAGAAGTTTTAGAAAACGATCTCACGTTATTGACTAATGTTTATGGAGTCCGTAAAAAGTGGATATTCATCATTCTGTTGTGTATTTCAGTAAAAACAACCAAATCAAAAACTCCATTTTCAATTTGCCGCGAAAACGTTTTTCTGGGCAATATGGCGTCATACTAGTGTGTGACGTTACACGACTGTTATTGAAACGTCAAACGATACAATGTAATGTCACTTTACACCGGAAGTTTACTTGCGTTTTGGGTCACGTGACAATAGATAAGAAGTCTTTGTTTGAACTTTCTAGTTTTTGTTTGAGACAGCCAGTACATGATATTCGTGTAAATAATTATGACTGATATATTGTATCTAGAATAAATACACGCTTTAATTATAATGTTTTGTAATAAACAAACCTTAATTAAAATATGGTTAGTTAGCTTTCAAATTATAAAAATTAATCATCGAAAAAAATTAATGAGCATAAGCTGACATTAACCATATTATAGTTAAAAAGTAAATATTTAATAAAAAAAAAATAAAAACTGAAAATATTTGTTAAAAAAATGACAAACCTGCCTTTTGTAAATACAACCATAAGTTTTGTCAGTAAGGTTGTTTTTGCCTTATTGCTTTTGTCAATGCCGAGAATTAAAGAAATTTAATTGGTATTCCAGCAAAACGCTATATTTTGTCTTGCAGAATTTTGTCACAATATCAACCAAAGACTTGAGGAAATACTTATTTACACTACGAATGTTTCTCTTTAAAAACCGGTAAGAACAAACAATCCTTCTGTTGTGACGACGAATGCAATTTCAACTTAGATTAAAATAAAATGGGAAGATACGGCACTCGCGGCTTAAAAATGTACCGCTGAAATTGTGGGTGCATGACCACAATTCGCTTTAGTCACAATTTGACATCCAAGCACGCTGCATGTGCACTCTATCTATACATATAATAAAATGGTAGGGAAGTCAAAACTGTACATTGAATATTTTTTTAAAAGAATACTTGGGGTGTGATCTACAATGGATACCGAAGCCAAAAATATAGTTTTTAGAATATTTGTCTGTTTGTCTGTATGTATGTCCAGGATAAACTGAAAAAGTTTTCTTTGTCTAACAGGTAGTTTATCAAAAAGTATTGGACACTTATTATTTATTTATTCATAGAAGCAAAACATAACAGATTTATAATGTTGATTTGAAATGTTGCATGACGTCACGTCTTGGTTCAATTTTTACTTAGGTGTGACATCACGAGCTCCCACTCCCAAACTATGAGGCGCTATATCTTTGTATTTTTTTTTGACGAAAGAAAAAATATGTGTCCTTTATTTTTTGACAATCGAACTAACGGACTAAATGGACTCTGTTTACCTCCCCTGGTCACTATTTGGGGATTTCAATATTAAGAAAAAAAAAACTCGAGTCTTTGGCTGTGTACAAAATGGATTTTAAGAAATCGAGTTTGTCAAAACTGGTTGTGTTTTATAGAATCACTCGGTAAGTTTTTTTCTACCTCGTTCTTCTTTTTGTTGAGATTGTAAAGTTAATGTCATGTAAAATATGAACAATAATAAAGAACAATTTAATAACCAAAGGATCATATTAAATGAATTATGTGCATATTGCATATCGACAGTGGAAAAGTAAAATATCTTAAACGCTACTTTAGTAGCTTTATAGAAACGAGGTTAATTTAAAATAACAAAGTTATTTTTTACAAAAGAACAAATTATTATATAAAAACATATTCATAAAATAATCACACTAGAGTCTGTGCGGAAAGAGAATGGGCGTGGTGAAAAACGGAACTAACATTAAGATTTTTATTTGGCAATCAAACCCAGTAATCTGTAAAACGTCAAAGTTTTGTATTGATACGGGTTTGTTTGTTGTGTTGTGATTTCTTGCGGTTTTTTGTATTTAATCATGTCTGAAAGGGGTAAAACCTTACAAATACGGTAGAAAAGCACTACAGCGCCCTCCAATCTAAATCCCATTCTCTTTCCGCACAGACTCTACATGGTAACAATCCCGTAAATAACGTATATTACTATAATGTTAGTGACCATGAAAGTTTAAAACCAAAATATATATCGCTTCAGTGTTGTGAACAATAAAAATCTTAAAACAATTTATTTGTTAAAGCGCCAAAGAAAGTACTCAAATCTTCACGAAACAAACACATGGACGAAGAAATAAAATCTAATTAAAATGATATATTTAACTTTCGACCAAAGTAGCGCATAAATAAATTTGCCTTTCCACTGCCGATATATATATATTTATAAAATAACATGATTTCAATATAAAAATATTAGTTAGCACTGTGAAAATTAGCAATGCAATATATCATACATTAAAAAATGTAAATACAATGTGTAAATAGGTAGTTAGGATAAATTAATCAAATTATTATGAATTATGATCTTTTAAGAATAGCTTGGGTAGAGGTGACATTTGTGTACAGAAAAATTACTTTTATGGCTTTTGGTTAAAGCTTTTGTTTGTATACACCCAAGATACCGTGTTACCGTGAGGAATTCGATGGCGCGGGTGGTCAGCGCGTTCGGCTGCGATCGTTGAAGTTAGGCAACTTTCGCAGTGGTCAGTCATTGGATGGGTGACCAAAAATCTTCTATCTCAAGTTTCTCGGAAGGCACGCTAAGCCGTTGGTCCCGGCTGCATCTGCAGTCGTTAGCAACCGCCAATCCGCATTGGGCCCGCGTGGTGGGCCATGGCCCAATCTCCCTATTCCATCCATAGGGAAGGCCTGTGCCCCAGCAGTGGGGACATTAATAGGCTGATGATACCGTGTTAACTACGCGGAAGCGGCAAAACATAAATATCTCTTATGGTAGCCATACACACTATGAGAAATCGTTACGATCAGATTGTACAGTTCGAACGGAACAGTATATCGTACGTGGCGTACGTATAGGAAACTGTGCAGTTTTATAACATACACGCTACGATTTATCGGTACCGTTCGAACTGCACAGTCTAATCGTAACGATTTTTCGTAGTGTGTATGGCTACCATTACATATGGTAGATATGCTCGTCGCACACATTGACTGCTTGGATACAATCTGATATTAGAGTCACTCACACATTGCTCGTAACATAAGCCTCTTTCTTTTTCGACTTATTTGTATTGCTCTTTGTAAGCGTATAAATAATTATAATAAATATTTCCAAAACTCACACCAATTAGCCTAGTCCCAAAGTAAGCACTGTAGGCTTGTGTTATGGGATACTAGGGTAACAGATAGAATACAAATATAAGTATGTTTACATAGAAATACATATTAAACATCTATGAGTGGAGTACAAATGTTCGTATTCATCACACAAACATCTGCCTCCACCGGGATTCGAACCCGAGACCTCTTGAAACTCGGCATACAAACCATTCGGCCACGGAAGACGTCATAAAGTTCGCAAAATCTGTTTTGCGATTGCTGCGCGAACTTTTTTCTGTTTTTTGACGACCGACCTCCATGGCCGAATGGTTTGTACGCCGGGTTTCATGGTGTCGCTGACTCGAGGGGTCCCGGGTTCGAATTCCGGTGAAGGCAGATGTTTGTGTGATGAATGATGATGTTGTTTAATGTGTATTTCTATACAAATATATTTGATAATTATGTATTTTATCCGTTACTCTAGTATCCCATAACACAAGCCTTACAGTGCTTACTTTGGGGCTAGGCTAATTGGTGTGAGTCTTGCATATATTTATTATTATTTATGTTATCATTAGGGTTTATTTTTCTATAATACACGCAAATGTTACCCTACCTTTTGCTATGTGAAACAGGCTTAGATAAACGAGTCTGAGATCTATCGTCCATGACTTAAATGTGTAATTCATTTATCACCTCGGCACTATCAAGCGACGCGCTACTCAAAAAGAATCAGACGCCGCCGTATCCGAATAAGTAATACTAGAAGAAATTCGACACGGCCATTAGGGTTTCGGTATCATAATTGGTTGGCGCTCGAACTGCAGAATGATTTTTTTTCTAGTACAAGTTTTCTTTTGATTAATAATTAAGAGTATGCGAAAAAGTTACAAAACAGGCGTCTGGTTGGTGTTCGTGATTTTTTTTAAATGGCCACAAGTATCGTATACTCTTTTATAGCAAGTGTGACATAAACCCGCCCCGGACGCGGGCAAGAGGAGGGGGATGCGATTAGTGTTTTGAAAGTAAAATTCATGTATTGCAATCACAAAGAATTGCAATACAGACTGCAAGTCAAACTCTGAAAAGAAAGAATTCCGGTTCAGATTACCATTTTGAAAGTATATTTCAAAAGGAAAAAATCAAATATCATTACAACAAAATAGAATTTCAATGTATCCATGAACGTTTATTCCATGATTGGCATAGTAAAGTTAAGTTACACGTATCGTAATGTACTAATTCTACATGAGTGAAGTTGGTCAATTCATTTACACACCGTGCAGAAATAGGCAACTTAGGTCACGGAAAAGTGTGCGTAAAGTGCGGGTTTAGGTCACACTGTGCTATAAAAGATTTTTTGTTTTGCCTACGTGTTGCCTTTAGTTAATTAGCATACTGATTACAAACCGTATATGTTTAATTTTAACATAGTTATGTGTTATGACCACAGACCATGTAATCTTAAAAGTTAGCGCGTAAATTGCGTGATAATTTTGTCTATGGGTCGAAAATAGACTAAGCAAATTGTGGCTTAAAAACCTAATCAACAGATGCCGCTCGGTGCTGAGGCGATTAAATTAATTATTAAGAAACATGTATATACATATCGCAGTTAACAAATGTAAGCTGTTACTTAAATATTTTATTTTTTATATTATTAAACATTTTGGTGAAAAATGTTTATTTTTTACAAGGCTGTGAAGGCGCCTTAGCGGATTTAACAATCAAGCAATGCTTCGTGGTTAGTGCCAAATTTTTTTTTATTATATTATGTCAAAAGGCCGCGCTCAAAGACGTCAGGTAAATTTATTGCAATGCTTGTCTAACTGAAAATTTAAATGACGTCATTGACTGAGTTTGAGTGAGTCGTTTTTATTAGAAATGTATTTCACAAATTGTTAATTAAACACTGCCCATAATACTTTCTTTTTACGAATCTTGACTATTTAAGATTTGTCTATGACACAAGTTTACATTTATTATCTGTGCACGTAATTATAGTGGATAACTTAGAGGTAAAGTTGAGAAAATTATCTAAAAAAAAACAAAAAAAAGTTATTTTACGTTTTTGGGTTATGATATTTTTTGTGGTTGGATGTGTTATTTGTTACAAGTGCCTTGGTATGATTCTGTTTACTTGATTTGACCATTTCCTATATATTAATAATTAGGTCATTACTCATTGTCATTACGAAATATTATTTAAGAATTATGTGCTGAAATGTTGTTTTTTTATATGTAATTAATAAAAAAAATGTTGTAGATGTCTTGTATATATTATATTTATACGAAGTGCCGTCGTTTGTTTTAATTAAATTTTTGAAGTGAAACTCCTTTAGGTACACTTTACTTGGGGGGTAAACTGGCGAATGTATAACGGTTATGCGTTACGATTAGTGTCATCGGTGAGTTATCGGTAAACAATGAACAATACCCGTCACAAAATACATGAATCTAGTGCTAACTTACATGTTTACTTGATTAACTATTGAAATATGGTTTTGAATTAATTACACGACGTAATTTATCAATAACAATATTTTACTATTAATTGAGTCGTATAGTATCAAAGGCGGCAATGACGCCCTCTGGTTGAGCCGACCCCCTCAGGTTCGAGTGGTCTAGAGGCTCCAGGCGGAGAGGAGACGCTCCCCGTGGGGAGATGCCATCCGCCTGGAATACCTCTAGAGGCACTCGCCAATTCTCGGTTTGAGGTCCCCTTAGGATCTCGCCGTCCCCAAACCCGGTGACGCTGTAAAGGTCACCTGCGACTAACGGCATACACACTCAAACAAAAAAAAGTGTTCCCGGTGTAATCTCACGTTCGGACGTGGACACGGTTGAAAACCATTCCTAGGCATGGGTAGAACCCGTTAACAAGCGCCCTGAGGGATGTTTAAGAGTGGACGCGGGCTGAGTTTATAAGCAATTTTTTATAAGCGAATTCTCAGTAAAAATTGCAAAATTCGAGATTTTGCTCTCGATGTTTTCTCCTCGAAAATAAAAAAAAAAGATATATATAAATGTACGAGACGACCGCCTTACGAACGAAGCGAGAAGAAATAAAGTTTACGTCGAAAAGAGATTGATTTGTAAAATATGTCTATAATTTCACATGTAACGGATGTGTACATTAAGGCACTTTGCAGACGACGGGGCGGGGCGGGCCGGTCAATTTTGCCGCGAATAATAGCACAAAGTGAATCCTATACTTCAAACGCACACAGAGGGCAAATAGACCGCGCCTTGGGTGCCCGGCGGGCACTGGCGGCGCGGCATGTCCGCGGCTGCCCGCCGTGGATCATACAAACCAGTTTATATGCAGTAACGCAGACGACGGCGCGGGGCGGTCAGCTCAGTCCGCGCCGCGCGCTTATTAGTGATGGAATATTCACTAGAACGAACGTCCTGAATTGACCGCCTCTGCCCGTCGTGTGCTTTGTGTACGCGGCGCGGGCAGCCGCAGACATCGACGGGCGGACGCGGTCTTTATTGCTTCGCGGACAAAATGCCCGCCCCGCCCCGTCGTCTGCTCAACGTCTTAAAATGTTATTTCCTTGTTGTTTTATTAGAATGAGTCGGATATCGTAATAATAGAGAGCTTTGCCCATAGTAACTGATTGTAAAATTGATAGTTCAAAGCGATATTCTGTCTCTTTCTAACCCATAATCTTATAAGAATTTGTCTAATCGATCGCCGCGACGCCAAGCGGTGGCGCAGGGAAACTGCACTAGAATATGATAGTTCGGACCGATAGGAGGGACAGAGACGATAGGCTGTCTCTTTCTAGCAGTCTTATAAGATTTTGCCTAAGTTGATAGCCTTCGAAAATATTATGTAATTGTGTTTGAATTGGTTTGTTTTATATCTTATTAGGAAATAGGTAGATATAGGATTAAGATAGTAAAGTTTTGTGTAGATCGATTTAATAGTTTAGACATAATTAAGGGAAACGTTAAATATAGTTTTTTATGAATATTTGATAGGTTATAGGTATAATTTTAATAATAAAGCTTTTATTTTGTGTATTTTCGCTTGCTCTATACCTATAGAATGATATGATAGTTAAGCATTAAATGAATGTTAGTAGGTTTTTTAAGACTTTTAAAATTGTAAACTTTATAGGGCTATAGAGCCGTTGTTTGTTATTATTCTTATTAGAAACTTATTGTATTAGATAGATAACTCATAGGACTGCATAAATAAATAGGCAATGTAGAAATGTACCGAATATAAGGCAAAATTAGTTTGTATAGAACTATCTCCTAAAACGTTTCGCGCTCCCCTCCCGGCGCACGCAGAGCGCGTGGGTGGGGCAGCGGAGCCCTGTGGCAGGGCGAAGCCCTATGGAGGGGGAAAATATAAATATCGCGGAGACCTATTTTTTGCGCGCCACACCTAAAATATCATGCTTACGGACGCGCAACTGCGCTATAAATATGCCTATTTGTATGCCTAATGTATGTACGAATAATTTTAAGCTCGCACCTATGTATTTTTTGAATAAATGAAAAATAAAGTATAGCGGGGGTGAGGTAATGGATCGCTGGCCAGCTCAGTCCTAGCATATAAAATTCGAGTCGGAACAGGCTCCGACATGCATTCAGCGACAGGCGCTCCTACCCTAAGAAACAGGAAGAAACAAGCGGTTCACTCTGGACCTGAAGCAACTTTCTTCTGTGATGGAAGGACGTGAACTTTTTACTTCGATGGAGGAACTAGAACTTTCTACTGTGATGGAGGAACGTGAACTTTCTACTGTGATGGAGAAACGTGAACTTTCTACTGTGATGGAGGAACGTGAACTTTCTACTTCGATGGAGGAACGTGAACTTTCTACTGTGATGGAGAAACGTGAACTTTCTACTGTGATGGGAGAAACGTGAACTTTCTTCTGTGATGAAAGGACATGAACTTTTTACTTCGATGGAGGAACGTGAACTTTCTTCTGTGATGAAAGGACGTGAACTTTTTATTGCGATGGAGGAATGTGAACTTTTTACTTCGATGGAGGAACGTGAACTTTCTACTGTGATGGAAGAACGTGAATTCTTTGCTGTGATAGAAGGACGTGAACTTTCTACTGTGATGGAAGAACGTGAATTCTTTGCTGTGATAGAAGGACGTGAACTTTCTGCTGTGATGGAAAGACGTGAACTTTCTATTGCGATGGAGGAACGTGAACTTTCTAGTACGATGGAGAAACGTGAATTCTCTGTTGCCATAAAAGGACGTGAACTTTCTACTGCGATGGAGGAACGTGTACTTTCTACTGTGATGGAGGAACGTGTACTTTCTACTGTGATGGAGGAACGTGAACTTTCCACTGTGATGGAGGAACGTGAACTTTCTACTGTGATGGAAAAACGTGACTTCTTTGCTGCGATAGAAGGACGTGAACTTTCTGCTGCGATGGAAGGACGTGAACTTTCTATTGCGATGGAGGAACGTGATCTTTCTACCATGATGGAGGAACGTGAATTCTCTGCTGCCATAAAAAGACGTGAACTTTCTACAGTGATGGAGGAACGTGAACTTTCTACTGTGATGGAGGAACGTGAACTTTCTACAGTGATGGAGGAACGTGAACTTTCTACTGTGATGGAGGAACGTGAACTTTCTACTGTGATGGAAGAACGTCAACTTTCTACTGTGATGGAGGAACGTGTACTTTCTACTGTGATGGAGGAACGTGAACTTTCCACTGTGATGGAGGAACGTAAACTTTCTGCTGCGATGGAAAGACGTGAACTTTCTATTGCGATGGAGGAACGTGAACTTTCTACTATGATGGAGGAACGTGAATTCTCTGATGTGATAAAAGGACGTGAACTTTCTGCTGCAATGAAAGGACGTACACTAAACGTGATAGTAACAACGATATTAAATACCCTAGAAACACCTGTCCAAAAGGTACATTGGACGATCCACGGAGCTCCGTAAGATGATCGCGCAGTCTAAACAATAAAAGGCATTATTTAAACATTGAAAATCACCTTTAAAGCACACTACATAAGATCTTAATTAAAACGCATGCGTCAATGTTATGTGTGTTATGAGATTCCGATATGTAAACTTGTAAAATTTCACGACTTATTGCTATATGCGGAAGAATATAGACCTTATTTCTTTGACTCCACGTGCAATTCTGATTGCGCTGTTAGCAATATAGCAGCTACGGACCGCGAAGAAAGGAGACAGCTATATTAACGACCATGCATTTGAATATCACAAATATTTTCTATTAAATCAGTTTATAGTAAATATTAAAAATTTGCTTCAAATGCGTTAAATTAACAAATATTGATTAGATACCTGTCGAAAAAACGACATTTTACATACTATGAGTATTTATTTATTCGCATTTTTTCACGAAGCTCAGCGGCATGTCGACTTTTCAACGGTCCACGCGGGACTGTGAACCAAGAAGTGCTTGAGTCGTGTTCAAGCACTTCTTGATAGGGACACATTTTGAGCGCACGTGGTTTATCTAGGGTATTTAATATCGTTGGATAGTAACGATACTGGCACAAGTAAGAGACTGGTTCTTATCTACATCGTGGTAAATACACTATACTTCACTTGCTCTTAACATCAGGTGGAGAGGGGTATCTGCCTTCATGTGCCCCCGCTTGATGACGCCCATGAGAATAACCATAGACGCGTTCAACCTCCTTATTAAATCCAGAAGAAGTTGAAGTTTGAAAATGGAACCTATTTCTTTTTTACTCATTTTAACATCTGTCTGACATTTAGTCAAGTATATTTTTTGATGTGATTTGTGCCATTTTGTACGTGTTTTTTATTTGTTTTTTTTTTCATAATTCATGAGAAATTTGCGCAAGCAATATGCAACTTGAATCGTAAATAACACATGCATAAGTTTGGATTATAGTAAATTTTTGTTAACTGTAAGTACCTAAATGTATGTGTTCCTAATTTTTGATTAACGAAAGTTCCGCCTTTCTGTGTTTTTCTTACTTTCAAGTGTTATAATGGAGAATGGATGGAGGAGACAAAAAAAAGTTATCTCAAACCTTTTTATGCTTTGAAAGGCACGCTAAGTCGCAGGGTCGTAGCTTGGGCGAAAGGCGCAATACGAGGCAATGTCCTGCCTTGCCTTACTTTAAAACGGGGCTGCAGGTTGCGAAGGGCGGCAAGCCCCTGCTAATGCTCCGTAATCTTAATTACGGATTTTCATGCCATACCGAATGTCAGACATAGCCGTTGCTTCCAACAATGACTAGGTACGCACTACCTCGCTTGGTGGGTCATCGCCCAATGATTATGCCTGCCTGGATACATACCACTTACCCAACTTTACTTATTACAGGAAAAGAAATAATCTGACGTGGCATTTCTGTACATATTCCCATATGTGTGCTCCAATAAATTATAGTTGTATTAATAATTATTACGTGATAATTCACGTTGTTATTCGTTTATTTTAACCATCTACGATAGAAATTTTTTTGGTACTTTTTCGTCACTGGTTATTAATAACACAATTTATTTTCCACATTTCCTATTGGTTTTCTTAACCAAAAAAAAAATACGATTTTTCTTAACAAGTTAGCAAAAAGTAATCTAAATTCTTCTTTCGTAGATGGTTAAGAAAATGGACCAAAGGGTTTGCCTAAAAAAATATGACTAATTGCACCTGAAGCTATTTGCTAAATGCTACTCTATTTTCCAGACACAGGATGGCAAAATGTCGGCGAAGACGGAAGTAAGTTTACTTTCAGATAAACAGTAGCATTCATAATCTTTGTGAACGGTAGCCATAATCAGTGAATTAGCGTGGACTATAGACTCCCGACCCCATAAGAGTTAAAATAATATGCCGTTCCTTAGCATCGCCCCTCTTGTTTATTTTTTTAAAAATCATAAGTATGAAATATACGAAATACCCACCAACAATCCGCACTGGGCTCGCGTGGTGGGTCATGGCGCAATATCCCTATTCTATCCATAGGGAAGACCTGTGCCCCAGCAGTGGGAACATTAATAGGCTGATGATGATACAAAATACCGCCCTCATATACTTTTATAATTGTAAAAATCTCTTGTTTTTATTTATTTACAGAATGTGCAGAACGTAAGTTTTCTTTTTGAATTATTAACACGGATTTATTTGGTAAGTTTTCAATTGCATGTTTATTAATTAAATTATAATTACTAGACTGTAATATGATTTTCAAGGATGCCTCTTAAAAGTATCCACATTAGTGTCGTATAAATATACCTAGCTATTTTCGTGGATATACTGTTGGTACTTCCGAGGCTCGAGAGATGATACTGCGCACTTAGTTAGGTTAGTGTGGTGACCATAACGTGCGAGCTGAGCGAGCAAAGCGAGCGCGCAGTGGAAGCGGCCGGCGAAGCGCTAAAAACGTTAAGTGACCTCTTTCAACAAAAAAGAATACAAGTATCACCTCTTAGGCCCAGGAAGTACAGTTTTACCATTTTCACGTATATATAAGCAGCTAAACTCATAAGGAGTTTATGACAGAGATTAGCAGAAATAATGACTTCTGGCATAGCTGGAGACGCTGTAGAGTTGGCGCCGTAACTAATTTTTGGGTTCCGCTTGCGAGTGTGACAACGGATTCCTATTACGTAATAAAAAAAAGCTTCGTTATCCGTCCGTGGATAGTGGAGGAGCGGGCTGTGTATCTCATGAAACCTAAAAGATACTGCTTAAATCTTTGTGTCTGTACTGTTCTAAGTCTGTTCGATTGATTCTGAATGTGTAGTCATTTCTTGTTTATAGAATAGACTTAGGAACCAAGAATATTTTCCTGAGCTGAGCTTCTCCGTGTTTCGAAAGTCACGCTAAACCGTTGTTCCCGGCTGTTTCTTCAGTCGTTAGCACGCGCCAAACTACAGTCCTCTTGGTAGATCACTACTTTTCCATCCATAGGGATAGGCTGTACCCCAGCAGTAGGGACATCTTCTTATTCATGCCTATTTTGCGTGAGAGGATGGCCTTAGTCGTGCCATCCCAACTCCCCCAAGAAGTTCAGCAGTCTCTTGGTGTCTCCGCAGGCCTTGAGTAGAGTCTGCGGGCTGCCCATGTGTGTCATCCGATGTCTGGTCACGCCTCTGCACTGTAGCAGGACGTGAGTGCTCGTCTCCTCTTCCTCCATGCCGGCTCTGCACAGAGGACTGTACGAGACACCTATTTTAAAAAGATGTTTGTTAAAGTGTCCGTGTCCTGTAAGAATGCTCACTATTTGTTTCAAAGCATGTCTTGGTAACTTGCAAAACTTACTTGCTAGCTGTGGGTCTACCTTAGGTACGGCCTCCCTGGCGTGCCTGCAGTCTGCAAGCCCAGCCCAGTATGCGTTATGTTGTCGCAGGTATCTTTCCCTAATCCAACTTCGCAGCAGTCTTTATGGGATCGGTACGATTGGTTCTGGGCCAAATACTACAGTGTCCGACCCTCTCCTGGCCAGACAATCAGCCGCATCATTGCCCCTTGACCCAACTATGTCCTTTGGCAGTAGGGACATATTAATAAGCTGATGATTATCATAGTTAATAAGCTTTAACCGTTGCAGCCGATGTCGCAGCAAGACCGGTCGGTTTAAGCGTTGCCGCTCCTGCGACCGCCGGTACAGCGTGCGGCAGAAGAATTGCCGCGCGCGCTGCCCCTGCGCCCGCCGCCGCCGCCGCCGGTCCAGCTGCCGCAGACGCAGGGGCCGGTGAGAGAATATGCTTACATTATTTGCCACATGTGTACTAATAGGACATGGTTATTTGGTGTAAGCAGTTGCAGCAAGAAGAGTCAGTTTAAGCGATTTCGCTCGGGTGATCTCTGGTATGGTAGTCTTTGAGATGCTTGCAAATCCTGCGCCCGCCGCCGCCGCCGCCGGTCCAGCTGCTGCAGACGCAGGGGCCGGTGAGAAAATACGCTTACATTCTTTGTCACATGTATACTAATAGGACATGGTTATTTGGTGTAAGCAGTTGCAGCAAGAAGGGTCAGTTTAAGCGATATCGCTCGGGTGATATCTGGTACGGTGCAGTATTTGAGATGCTCGCTAATCCTGTGGCCACCGCAATCGCCGCTCCAGCTGCCGCAGACGCAGGGGCCGGTGAGAGAAAGATGACGCTTATATTCTATAAAGTTGCTATCAACACGATCTTCTTATGGTGGAGGTGAGAGATTATGCTTTTTTTTTGTTTTAGGACTTTATTTGGGATAGAAGTCGTTTAAGGGATATGGCTCGGTTGATCCATGGTACAGTATGTGAGATGTTTGCTAACATTGCGCCCGACGCCGCCACTGATGCAGGGACCGGGGAGAGAAACACGAGGCTTATATTCTATCCACAGGGCCTTCTTAATTGGGGTTTGACGTTTGGAGACCAGGTGAAAGGTGGAGGTGAGAGAATAAGCTGATAATCTATTATAAACCAACAGGACATTGTTATTTGGTGTAAGCAGTTACAGAAAAAGCGGCTCCCAGCTGCCGCAGACGCAGGAGTCTGTGAGAGCCATTCGACGCCATATTCTATCAACAGGATTGTCTTATTTGGTACAGCAGTTGAAGCAAGAGAAATGACTGATCGAAGACGGCGCATGTTTTGTTAGTGGACAGCTCATAGGACAAATAATGTACAATATTTTCCTTACTTGGCCAGTCTACACGTCCCCCGACTCCACTCCGAATCATATCATATAACAACTGCGCATTAAGTTCCGTAGCTGCCTGAAGTTCGACTTCGAGCCTTGTCGCGCAAGGGCGCTTGTTAATGAGACAATTTTCGCCGGATCTAGGCTCGATTTTCACCCAGTCTACGTCCAGTCGTCAGTTAAGTATGGGACACTATGGAGTTATGGTTTAGTGTACAAACGTAAAACATATTAAAGTTGGTTTCAGAGTTGTCGCTTGGCTCCAGCAGGGGTGGCATTGCCCTTCCGATTCACATTTTGAAGACCTCGAACCTTCCTGGGTTGTGTGCCATTGACAGGAGCAAAACGTACTTATTGTCTGATTTTATACACATTTCACCCAGAGCTGAGTTGAGCTGGACGAAACAAGTTAGGTTAGGTTCCTCTTTTCTGCTACTCTCTTCGAGCGGAGAATACCTTGAGCATTTTCAGACATTGAATAAAGTAGCGTTTTTGTAAGTTGATACATGAAAAGTTTATCTGTTCTGTTTTCCAGGTATCTATGGCGCTGCAGATCAAGGTCCGGCTCGTTCAAACGCTGCCGCCGCTGCGATCGCCGATACAAAATAAAACGAAGATAGCGTTCATGACAGGTGCGTTAAGATAAACAGATGCGCGCGCACACACACGCAGGCACGCACGCATGCACGCACGCACGCACGCACGTCTTCAATGCCATTAAAAGTATCGGATTCCTGCTGTTACTTCAGCCAGTAACAAACAACATTCCTTTCTCTTGAGTCGCAGTTTTCCACCCTAAGCTTTTGTAAGCGAAAATTGTGTGATAAAGAAAGCGCTTCGTTGCCTGTAGGGTGATTATGTAAATAAGAATTATTTAAATAATACTGGCTGCTTCCACAGTCATTTTGCCGTGCAATGGCGTAATGCATATCAAAATTGACTAAAATCGCACTTCCTGTTGCGGTAACTGCTATTTTAGGAAATTGACATTTATATAGAGATATTAAGTGATATTGCATCTTACAAAATACCTCTATGCTGGTTTCTGTGAAAAGAGTATTAAACCTTGCGCCAACATTGGGCCCAAACTAAATATTTATTTTGATTCCGTGATAGAGAATAAATACTTGCTCCAATGTTAGGGTTAAGTGCATTGGCCCAACATTGGTACCCGTAAAGGCAGAAACATATTAAGACGTATTTACGTGTCGTGTCACGACACGACCTACAAACTCTACAAATATATTTCTAACCATAATAAATGTATGAAACAGATGTGCTTCTGGCGCGTCGTCACGACACGCAAATATGTTTTTGTGATAAGTGTGAAGTAAGGTTTTTATACTGTTTATTGTAATAACAATGCCTTTCTTGATCTGGTAACTAAGGATCTTAGAATCGTGTTTTTACAAGAGATAAAAATATTAATTTCTTTTGCAGGTGCTGTTTAATGAGTGTACAAAAATTTAGTTTGAAAAAATCAAATAAACTCATCACTTGAATCTGTGATTTTCATTATTTAATAGCATTTTAAAACGGTTATTACAATTGCACAATGAAATTTAATTAAACTTGATTTAAGAAAAAGCAAGGAACAATAATTTACAATAGGGTAATATTAATAGTCTATACTTAAAATTTCAAGAATAGTCCAATCTTCGCTGGTTTTCCAAAATTGCTGTTAATTCCAGAATCCGTTTTGCTTCGTAACATATAGATGGTTCTTTGCTCTGAAAAAAAAAACAATGTCTAGTGACGACGATACTCCAGAGATATAACTTTTTAATATTATTGACTAAACTACTGTTTTTTTTCTTACTTTAAAAGTAAAGTTTTATCAAAGTTTAACAGCGCTAGAGACAGCCAACAAACTAGAAAAAATGACATTCCATGGTCTCTAAAAAAATATTTCACTTTAAAAAAAACAACCTACATTGATTTGGACGGCTTTGGTAGTTCCCTTCTCCTTTCCATCCTTCCTTTTGCAGCATGCCCTAGAACTTCTCCCGATTATGAAGTAGAAGATCTCCACGAGACTGATGAAGCTGGCTCCGAGGAACAAGCCCGCCGCACCACCAAACGACACTGCGGCAACAGTTAAAGAACAGAGGTCACGAACCAATGTCAATGTCAAATTTATTATGGAAACTTGGACGGCAACGCCACAACGGGCGTAACGAGAACTAATTATCTGTCGTATAAATAAATATAGCGAACTAAACTATTCGAATTCGATCTAGATATACGACCAACGTTGTCGCGCTGCTGTTCAAGTTTTCATATAAAATTTGACAGTGCCATTTCGCACTTGCAAACTATTATAATTCGATATTGGTTCGTGCTTAGGGTCCTGTAACCTTAACATTTAACATTTTATTCACCATCAGAAAATACAAACCGTTGTTAAACAGTGTTAGAATATTTACAGTAAGTTTACATTAAGGTATGCGTAACAACATCAAAGACTGACAGCTACCCTCCGCTTTAGTAACAAAACTGTATTGCGGTAGAGTAGGATCATCGTCGAGTAAACAAAATAGGGTAGATTCATGTCATTTTACAACTTACGACAGGTCGTGATAAAACTGCGAAATTCTAATACTGGACAGTATACGTAAAGTAAAAAGATAAATATTATAAAGATACTAATACACATCAATACCAAAATTAATAATTTATATAATATTAGGTCATAGAACTACATGTAAATTTATATTATGTATAAAATATTAAATAAATATATATTACATATGCATACTCAAATTTTGCCTTCTAATCCTTCAACAAATCCTCAGTACTACTATAATCAAGTGACGCCAAGTATCCGGTAATTATTTTATTACATTTAAAATATGTATTATTTCGAAGTGTGGGAAAAATTCGAGTTAACTTGTTGTATAACCGAGGACCTAAATAATAAAAGAATCTACGTGCGAACTTAGTTCTACACGACAGCACCTTATAAGGATCTGGAATGCGTCTTTCTGTGGAATTAGATGTTAGAGGAGTTACAAAGCGATGACACTTTAAAATAATTGATTTAATATAAAGCTGTCTGACTGTTAGAACTTCGAATTCAATGTAAAGCGTTCTGGTTGGAAAGCGCGGTTCTCTAAAATTTGCAACTTTTAATATAGTCCTTTGCCCTCGCTCAATTTTTATTAGATGAGATTTATGAGCACCACCCCAAGCAGTTATGCCATAGTTTATTATTGATTGACACAATGTATAATAGACAGTTTTTATGGTGTTCTTATCTTTTACTTTTCTTATTTTTTTGAACATACATATAAGCTTACGTATTTTACAGCTCAGTCCATCTATTTGTTGTTTCCAATTCAGATTTCTATCTACTAAAATGCCAAGATATTTCATATTTATAGCTTCCGTTAAAGCTGGACAGACACAGTTCAAAGAATCATAGCAATTATGTGCTTGAACACTAAAATTTTTAGGTTGATCACTATCCTTAATACTGAATTTCATGTATTTAGTCTTATCTAGATTGAGAGTAAGAATATTCCTCTTAAGCCATTTCAAAACAAGTGCAAACCCCTCTTCAGCCAACATCCTTACCTCATCCCAGGTCTGCCCATTAAATAAAATAACAGTATCATCCGCAAATGATACTATTTTTGCATTTTGTAATTTCATGATAGTCAGACTGTTAAGATAGACCAAGAAGAGCGTTGGACCGAGGACGGAGCCTTGTGGGACACCATAATTTAATCTTATGCTATCACTTACCACATTATCAATTTTTACTGCTTGTGTTCTTTCTTTTAGATAAGACTGAAAAAGTTTAAGTGGTGTGCCACGTATACCAGCGTTTTCTAATTTAAGTAATAGTATAGGTATAGATACTGTATCAAACGCGCGCGCTAGATCCAGAAAGATCGCAAGACATTTGTTTTTAGCGTCTAAATTTTGGGCAATTTGTTGGATAACATCTTCAATTGCATTTGTGGTTGACATGTTTTGTCTAAAACCGTATTGAGTAGGCGAAAAAAAATTATTATTTTCTAGGAAGGTAACAAGTCGGGAATTAATAGATTTTTCCAATATTTTAGATAATGTTGGTAATAGTGAAATCGGCCTATAGTTATCGATTTTAGTTTTATCTCCCGCTTTATGTACTAGAGTAATAAGCGACCTTTTTAACATTGCAGGGAAAGTCCCCGTGGAAAAGCATAAATTACAAATATGCGATATTGGGCGAGCAAGGGACATTGCTCCCATCTTAAAGAACACTGACGGGATACCATCCCATCCAGCAGACAAACTATTTTTGAGTGATCCTATCAACTTACATATTTCATACTCGTCCGTTGGTAACAATACAAAAGAGTTCAGGGGTGATCTACTATTTGGATACATTTCGGGATATGTATTAGGCTCAATTTGTACCGCCTGCATTTTAGTTGCTAATTTTTCACCAACATTGCAAAAATACTGATTTATGTAGTTTACAGAATCTTCAGGAGTACATTTGAGCGATAATAACATATGTGAGGATTTCGCATGGTTATTAAGGTTACAGACTCTTCGTATAGTCTTCCACGTATTTTTAATGTCATTTTTATATTTATTAATTTCAGATTTCTCATATTCATTCTTCAAATTATGCAGTAAATTATTGCAAAAGTTTCTATACCTCACATATGTTACACGCAAAACAAGATTATTCGGGTCTTTTTTTAAATTACGATTTAATATATCTCTCCATCTTATGCACCTTACGCTTAATAGCAAACCTTCTGTTACTAATTTTACGCTTCGTAGTACACTTATCTAAAATGTTTGATAAAATTTTAAGGAATTTGTGTGTAGCTTCATCAGGATTTAAACAATCTGTTATCTCTGTCCAATCAAGTAAACTTAATTCTGTAACCGCCATATTAAAATCCGTTTTGGTTACAAAAATATTCTTTTTAGGGATTTCGCCAGAACGCTTCACATTCACAGACATTAAGACACTGCAGTGATCAGTTATAGATGAGTTACATATCAGTGTCATTGCTTTGGAACCGATCGTTATGAATGTGTGATCAATACAGTTTGGCCCTCGAGTTGGAATAGTGTGACTGGGCATAAGACCATGCATTGATAGTATATTAAGGTAGTCATTAGTTCTCAGATCAGTACTTGTCTGTTTAATGTCCACATTCAAATCGCCCGTCATAATCACATTTTTAAATGTTTTAAGTTCACCAAGAATTTTGTCAAGAGACTGCAGAAATTCATCTATGTTATAAATGGATGGTGATCTATACATTGCGAGTATTGCAAACTGATCATTTATCGTTATAAGCAAACAATCCGAATTTACAACATTGGGTTCTCTTACTGTAACATTAAGACTTTGGTGGGTATAAACGACAACTCCACTATTTTGATTAGTATGTACCGTAGTTGAATGACAATTGTAGTTAGGTATATTAGGTAAATTACTTATATGTGGGAGCCAACACTCAGTTAATATTATTAAGTCTAATTTAACATTTAGTCGTGTAATGTGTATAATAAAATCTTCAAAATTTTTGTTTATGCTTCGGATATTTTGTACTATTATATTCAATTGTCCCATAGTACCCAAGATAGAGCCGCAATCCCCGGGATCGTCCACGAGACGTGCCTCCCCAACATTGACATTGTTATCAATATCAATGCTGATGTCACGCAGGTCATTAGCCATTATAAAGTAGTTTATTTATTTTTTTATAATCAAATGACACCTCCCGATGACAACCCCAATGATCGCTTATTCTATTTATTAAGATTAGCGGAAGAACCAAATTGGCAAATGAGTATCTTCTAAAATATGAAAACAACAAATAATTAACTATAAAAAATAAATATACATTAATAATATAAAGTATTATTATAAATAAAATAGATATTATAAGACCTGTTGACATTACTAGTTTATATAAAAAAACAATCAGAGAAAGAAATTTAAATTTAGAGAACAACCTTAGTTTTCCTAGTCAATAGTTGTCTTCGAGCTTGAGGATTTCAATATCCTTTTGCTTCTTTATGGGAATAGCTGGTTGACCTTCCTCTTTGCGAAGCATCACCATACCCTTTGAGATCCAACAGTACCTATAATTGCCTTCGTTGGCCAATCTTTTCGCAGAAGCAAAGAGTTTCTTTATAAATTGTGTATTTTTAACCTTAGCACGAACTCTGTGGGTTCTTTGCATGAACCAATATCGAATTCGAATAGTTTGCGAGGGCGAAATGTTAAATGTTAAATGCGAAACGTCCGTTATGGCGATAATGTTCATGTTTCCATACAAAATTTGACAATGACATTTCGGGCTCGCAAACTATTCGAATTCGATATTTGTTCGAGCTAAGGGAATACAGATCAAGAAGTACAGATCGATACAAATACATCTGCTTATATTCCCAGTGCTACCAGTGGTATTTCCCTGACACCTAGGTACTGGGAATACGTTATCCACCAGTTAGTACCATCATGGGACTACTGGTACATTTTTCCCAGAGGTTCAGGAACAATTTGACCTACATAGTATTTTTAAAGAATAAAAAAAAAGTTTTATTTCTACTTGCGGACTATGAAATGAAACACATTAAACGAATATTATTACAACTGATTACAACACAATTTTTGGTGTGTCATGTTCAGTTGACAGTTCAATCAGTCAATGAAGGCAAAAATCAGCCACAACCTCCGATTTCGTTGAACCTCCATTGATTTTCATGAAAATTGGTGAGTAGGTGGGGGATACCTTAAGAAACAAAAGTGACATAGTGCCAACATGCGCTTTTGCCCTGGGGGTAGATGCTACCTCTTCCCGGGGGGTGAAAATTATTTTAATAAAATAACTCAAGAAATCGATAGAAAAATAAATTCTAAGCAAAATTTGTTATAATAAAGATTTTGGAATAAATCAATACTTTCTGAGTTATTAAAGACCAAAGATTGTGGTTTTTCGTGATAAAAATACGTTTTAAAGCTGTTTTTATAAATTTATAAGTTATTTATAACTCAAAAACTGAGTTTTTACAAAATATGTATTATGAATGACCAAAATTAAAGCTAATAAAAAAACAAACAAACCCCTACTTTGAAAAACCTAATATTTGAGCTATAGGAAATTGTATGTATATTTTTTCGGCGAGTACTTAAATCAAAAGTATCAAAACCTTAATAACGGGAAACCGATGCATTTTATGACATATACTTCCTGAACACTTTTTAAAGCCCTTGGAAATACCTTTCTAATGAACACTGTAAAAAGTTAAAAGTAGGTATCAAAATTGAGCAAGTTATGATAAAAATAAGATGACTCTTTCGAATTTTTTTGGAAAAAACGAAAAATAAAACCATTACCACAAAAGTTCAAATTAATGGTTATCCCTAAAGGACTTACTTATTTTTAGCATAATTTAAGTAACATCAAAAATTTTGCTCGGTTTAAAATGCTTATTTTTTAAGAAAAAGTATGTGTGATTTAATAAAATCGAAATTTTTATATTTTCGTAAATTTCATTTTCTTTTGAAAATAACATCAAAAATATTGGATATTAGTAAAAATAGTAAGTAACGCGATTTTGGTTCTTTTTTTAACAAAATTTTGGGTTTTATTTTATTTTTATAGAATGTAAAATAACCGAGATAGAGACGTTTAAAGCGTAATGGGGGAGCCCAAGAGGGGATTTGGGGATTTACTCGAGCGCGGCAGATTAATATATGGGAAGATACCTTACATCTAGTTGAATACCTCTACCAAATCTGAGTTCTCCATGTAGTGCCGCGCGCGTAGACCAGCCGATCAGAATAGTGAAAAAAATGGATAGGCGGAAATACTCGAGCGCGTCAGATTAAGTTCATCATCAGCCTATTAATGTCCCCACTGCTGGGGCACAGGCTTTCCCTATGGATGGAATAGGGAGATTAGACCATGACCCACCACGCGGGCCCAATACGGATTGCCGGGTGCTAACAACTGCAGATGCAGCCGGGACCAACGGCTTAACGTGCCTTCCGAAGCACGGAGGAATTCGAGATAGTGAATTTTCGGTCACCCATCCAATGACCAACCACTGCAAAAATGCTTAACTTCAACGATCGCAGCCGAACGCGCTAAACACTTGCGCCATCGAGCTCCTCAGATCTCCTTTTGATGATGATGAAACACTAAACATACCAAATGACAGATAGTCTCACCGACTAAATCCTGGAAGTAGAACACGATTTCTCTGGTGTACCGCGAGCGGGGCGGCGGCACTGACAACTTCATGAAACCCCTCTCCTTTATGAATTGGGTTGGTTTCATGAATAACAAACGACAAACCATATTTGAGGAGCTGGCGAACAACACAGGCAAAATTACGCATCCGGTCAAATTTCTTTTTTTTACAGTCCGGAGGAGGTATTTTTTGTAAAATAATGTGACAAATTCTGTACATTTTTTTAATATCAAAATTTCGTTCACAGCGTTAAAGTTTTCTCATTTGGGACATTTAACTGATACCCTTAGACGTGAACTGTCTTTCTTAGATGGTTTCCCCCCTTTCTTTTGTCGAGAAAGACTGTCTTCGTCCCAACCTCGTGTTGCAACGAAGTTATCTGAGGACTCTCCCTTGCCTTTTATTTAGCTTAAGCTCGGTGAAATGAGCAGTGCCCTACCTAAAACCCTTAACAATATTCCTGCACCCAGCACGCACTCCAAGGAACGTGATCTCTGGAATGCATGTCGAGGAACCGTGCAATGCGAGTCCGGCGCAGATGTATGCAAAGTAGGCAGTTTTTGCCACAAAAATTATAGATAAACTATTTCAACTACAGGAACCTCCATGCTATACGCTCTCAGAGCGTCGACTGAGCTCCCTACTGCCTAACAGCTATTTCATTACCGGATTGTCAGGGGCAAGGGAGTAAGGGCATAGAGGTATAAGAATAGAGTAGGGGAGATATAGACTCCACTACAAGTGGAAGTGTCCCTCTATTAGAAAGAGAAAGAAGATGAGAGACCGCTAGCTTTTCTCTCTAATCGCGCATGCGCATTGGCAACCGTAAGCATCTTACTATTTCGATGTGATGTCATTGGATGTCATGCGTCACAAGAGAGAGAGAGATAGCTAGCGGTCTCTCATCTTCTTTCTCTTTCTACTATTTTTTAGAGCCGCATTCCCCACTATTCTTATACCTATATGAGTAAGGGAGATCGAGTAGCGCCAATCGCCCTAGATCGGGTCCCCTACTCCCTAACTCATATACCACCCTTAGTCAGGGTAAGGGTTCCTTAAAATTGGATAGTTCAATAGGCGCATCATTGGAAACAACACAACAATGGTATCGATTCTGGCATGATATTCTAAACCTAAAATTGTTTTGTTTTGTTTTTGTTTTTTTTTTAACACACACACCAATTAGCCTGGCCCCAAAGTAAGCACTGTAAGGCTTGTGTTATGGGATGCTAGGGTAACGGATAGAATACATTTATTGTACATATATAAGTATATTTATATAGAAATACATATTAAACATCCATGACTGGAGTACAAATGCTCGTATTCATCACACAAACATCTGCCCCCACCGGAATTCGAACCCGGGACCGGGATTTAATTTGACAACAGTGTATCCTTCTCATTTTCCATAAAGAATAAAATGGAGAGACTGATTTTAAAATTAGTTTTAAGTTTAGAGAATTATACCAGAATCGACACCATTGTTTTGGGCATCCATTTTCTACTGGAAACTGTTCTGATCCCTAGTAGGTAACGCAGAAAAAGAGATAATTGTATACAATAAGATAAACCATGTATGTAGGTATTAACAAATGTTTTCTTACCAAGTTTGACTCATGGTGGAGATTTCAGTGAACGTAGCTTCAAGACATTGCGGACTGCACCTGCATTCTTTGCCAACGTCGGTAATCAACTTCTGCGCGTACTGCGACAGACAGTGCATGCCTTTTGCGGTGCAAACTGAGCCCTCTGTGGACATTTTGATTCCTTAAATTTGGACAGTCGAACAATATCAGGCCATCTTTTTTTTTCTTTTTTTAATTATTTTTAGCTAATAGGCAAGGTTTTTCACCACAATCTCGGCTGATGGAAAGCGATGAAGAGGCCTAGGATGGTACACGCCTGCCTGCCACGCTGCCTGTTCACTCTTGCCTTGAAGATGTCCAGATTCTATTGGTCCGGAAAAACAGACCTCGGCAAGGAGTTCCACTCCCTAGCCGTTCGCATAATGAAAGCGGAAGCAAATCGCTTCGTGCAAATGGGAGGAACTTCGACAACATAAGGGTGAAAGCCCTTGCCGCTCCTGGTCGTCCGGTGGCGGAAAGGGGACGGGGGGAACAAATTATGTATTACATACCTGTAGACATTTGCGTTCTTAAATTAAACACAGCCGAACACTATCTATGTTCAGTATTTCCGTGCGCGTTATGGCTCAATTACATTTGGTCGTTAGCCCGTATTCGGGTTCACGAAAAACATTCCTCGAATTAGGGCACCCGTGACAATATTTACACTGAAAGACAGTGTCTGACCAAAACGAAAATCTACACTAAGTCGTTTATCCGAATTCAATTGGCACACGTATTCGGGCTACCGACCAAGTGAAATCGTGCCATTATATTCAGTGTTGACGACAGGTGAGAGAAAAACGTGCCGAGGCCACAAGGCCTACTTTACGATCATCCGAGGGGGGCGCGAGCTGTAAGCGGCACCCATTGAAGCGCGACTCGCCAAGACCATCTGAGAGGAGTATCGCGTCAAGGTGGACGACGTGTGCTACTGGAGCGACTCTCAGACTGGCCTTCACTGGCTGAGAAATAGAAGTCGCAACTACATTGCATTCGTCGCACAACGTCCGGGAGAGATCACCGAAACGACAGATGCATCCGACAGGCGTTGGGTTCCGACGCAACTGAACATCGCAGACGTGGCTATATACAGAGTGTGAGGAGTGGTTTACCGGTTCACATTTCTTAACGCGGCTTAAGTCCGAATGACCACGATCGGAAGTGAATCACGACGAGGACAGCAAAAGAACCTGGAGGGTTGCACAAGCACTAGCCGACAACTTCTGGAGACGATGGCTCAGGAAGTACTTACCAACCCTTGTGTCACTTCTTAACGGACCTTTCCCGAGCCCGGCAACGTAGTGCACAAACTAGAAATAGCGACCAAGGACGAGACTATGCCGCGACCATCATCAAAGGTCGACCGGCTGGAAACCACAGCGGGAGGACTCGCGCTGCACTCCACTCGCACCTTCCCCAGACCAGAGGGAAGGGCCGCGCTGCACTACAAGCAACGGCAGTCTTCCTGGAGTAGCTGGGAACGTAGTTCTGCGCCGGGGGGAGGATGTTGACGACTGTTCTTATTAGTTGTTCTACCGTTCAGTAGGACAAGTGGGAACAAACGCTTTTACCTTCGTAAGAGTAATAAAAGGGCTTGCAGCCGCACAGCTGCAAGGCGAGCTTGCTCCTGCACGACTGGCGACACGTGTTGAGGCTGTACACCTGAAGCACGAATGGTAGACATGAAATCATCATCATCATATTATTATAATGCCCACTGCTGGGCTTAGATTAAAACAAAAACAGAAGACACGGTACTCTCGGCTCAAAAGTGTACCGGTTAAATTGTGGTGCATAAACACAATTAGCTTTAGTCACAATTGGACACCCAAACTCACTGCATGTGCACTCAATATAACAATATTGCGTATATTCTTGTTTTAGGGCAAAAAAGCGTTTAACCATCAGGCATTTGAAAACCTTCGGCAGTCGGAAATAACAACATGCAATCGTAAGGAATAGCGAAAGCCAAATCCAAAGATCGGTCCAAAATACAGTGCGAGGCATTTGAATACCATTCAGAAATTATCGAAATGAAATCATAAGCCATAGCCATAGCATCCCGTTAGGCGATTGGCCCTCAGGTCACTCCCACAAACAAAACGAAACGATACCGCAGCCCTTCGGTAAAGAAGGTTTAAGTATCGTGATAGTCTGATCTTAAAATAGTACCGCCTCTCCGTTGTCTAATGGTTCATCAATGAAGCGGCAGCCCCTCCGGTGTAGAGGCAGATCCCTGACTCCTCGTCCGGGACCAATCTGTACGTAGGTAGTAAAAAATCACGAAGCAAGTGAAATTTTAAAGTAGGTATTTCACATCGTCTCAAATTTTAAGTGATATAAAAGAATTAGTTTCTTATGTTTTCACGAACAACAATTAAATGAAACACACATAAACGGGTTCAAAATAAGTATGGTGGTGACTCTATGGAAAAGTATCCCAGGGCAAAAGGAAAGTCTAGGGCTTCTATATTTATAATGTTACTGCACACAAACAATACAACACAAAATCCACATAAAATATGGAATCAAAAATAAAACACGTGTGAAAAATACGTAAGACCAGCGAGCGGTAGCGACCGTGTGCTGTGCGCGGATGTTCCGGGCGGACTGGCGAGTCTGGGTTGCCAGGTGCAATTTTATGATTTCCCCCAAACTGATTTTTATATTTCCCCAAAATGAAACTTTTTCTAAAAGAAAACCCCCAATCGTTTTGTTACTAAAAACAACTAAAAAAGCATTAGCATTTTTACTATGTTTCCTCACGCACAGGGCACGCCACTTACGATGATTTGCACCCTAGAATTAATACTTCAAATCAAAATATAGGTCAGTAACGATCCTTTTTAAGGCTCCTGCCGCCCCGGGCCATGGCCTTCTTGACCCTCACACAATGCCACCGATCAACACAACTCAGAAACAAATAAAGTCATAATTCATTTATCGAGTTTATCATGTGAAAGTCGAAAGATACACCATCGGGACGCAAATCTACGGTAGGTCTCAAGGATTTCTATTTACCTCGTATTATGTATAGAGACTGCTAAATCTCAAACATTAGATTCTCATACGTTTAGCAATCCTGCGCGGCGCGGCCTTGTCCGCGACAACACAGGTCGTCGGACAGCGCCCTACTGTTACTAGGCGTGCGCGCAAAAGCGTTCAGCAATGGCGCTTTTGGGAATGGCGGAGGACATGCGGTTTGATATATGCATCTTTTTATTACTTTTTTTGATGTTTCGCATACTTTTCAGACTGCGTCGTCAGTATTCAGATTTTTATTTACTTTTGCCGAACATCTTCGAAAGACTTATTGAACGTAATAAAAAGACGCTTTTGAAACGGTTTAAGCGTGTTTCGTTTGATGATATAAAAGAAATTGTCATCGAGAACCTTGTTGCTCGACGCTTCCCGCTGCGATCGTTGAAATTAGCACCCACTAATCCGCACTATGCCCGCGTGGAGGGTCATGGCCCAAATAAATTGTAGAATGTTCAGGATAAAGAAATTCAGAATTGCGCAGAAATCTAGCAATCATTAAACGATGGTAGATCAAGATTTGTTTTTTTTTTGGAATTGAAAGGTCTTACAAATGCCCCAACCCACCTGATGTTAAGTGACGGTGAAGTCCAGTGCGTCTAGCTGGTACAGCAGTTCTACCTGCCACAACAGTCACATCCATGTTTGGAGTACAAATGCTCGTATTCATTATACAAACATCAGCCCCCACCGGGATTCGAACCCGAAATCTCCGGGGCCTCTCGAGTAGGCGACACCCTGAAACCCGGCGTACAAACCACTCTGCCATGAATAAGGGTCATGATGACTACCTTAATGTTGACTGATTTTGATGGCGAAAACTGTTAAAGTAAGCTCGCGTGTTACATTTATAATTAAATATTACTTACTTTTATTACGCTTAACTCAGAGGCACGGTTCAGGAGAGGGATTATGGGAGACCCTCCGCTGATGATGTCCACCGCGTCGTACGGAGAGTGTACGTAGAACTGACGCAGAAAGGGAATGCTTTAGTATTGTTTATGTTAAAAGGATGGCAAACAAGCGTTTAGTTAGATGGTAAGCGGCCACTTGAGGCGCGAGTGGTGAGCGGGTTCGGATGCGATCGTTGAAGTTAAGCAACTTATGCAGTGGTCGGTCATTGGATGGGTGACCAAAAAATCTTTCTATCTCGAGTTCCTCCATGCTTCGGAACGCACGTTAAGCCGTTGGTCCCGGCTGTATCTGCAGTCGTTAGCACCCGCCAATCCGCACTGGGCCCGCGTGGTGGGTCATGGCCCAATCTCCCTATTCTGTCCATAAGGAAGGCCTGTGCCCTAGCAGTGGGGACATTAATAGGCTGATGATGATGATGATGATGAAGCGGTCACTATATCCTATAGACCAGAGGTGGCTGACTTGATTAGACCCAAGCTCTTCTGTTAACTGAAGAAACACTATGAGATCTACATAACAATGATTGAATTCTTAAATGAAACAGCATAGTTCTGTACACAATTATGTACTACTAACTGTGCCTTGGGGTTTATTAGGGATATTTAGCCGCAGTAAACCGTAGCCCATTTGTTAATCCAGGGTGTCAGCTAACTCCATACCAAATTTTATTGAAATCGCTCAAGCCGTTTAGACATGAAGAAGTAACAAACATACACACTCACAAACTTTCTCCTTTATAATATTAGTGTGATTGGTGAGCTTTTATCTCCACTATAACGGTAGACCTATTAAAGTTCATTTAGAAGTTTTATTGAGTAAATCAGATGCATTACTGGTCACATTGGAGGTTGCTTTTAATAATACGTGCCTATAACAGCTACAATAGTAGCGAAGTAAACCTTTACATCACTTGACAAAAGGTAGTTGCTGTATAAACTTAAAGAGCTAAAATGTATTGTCGAACGCTATATATATTTCTACATATTTATGTTTTTTTGGCCTTGCCACGATCGACTGAATTAATAGTTGCGAACTGATAGCACGTTCGGCCGACGATTGTGGAAATTAAGCAACTTCCACAATGGTCGGTCATTAGATAGGTGACCAACAATATATCTAGCTCCTCCGTGCTTCGGAAAGCATGTTAAGTCGTTTGTCCCGTTGGCACCGTTTGGTGGTCGATAGCACCCGTCTATCTGCACTGGGACGGGTGGTGGGTCACGGCTAGAGGATTCGATCCCGGGATCCCGGTCATATTTTAGTCCCGAAATTTCTCCGGGATTTTCGGGATTGATATAATTTTTATATATTAGTCCATAAAAATATGTGTGAAACGAAACGCACTTACTTTTATTTGACGATTTGACTGCCATCTTGTTCACACAGCTGACTTGATTTATTTTTGCTAACGACCGGTACCGGATTATGTATAAAAGTATGTAAAAATTCCGCTGCACGTCGTGTAAATATTGATATATTTTTGTTAATTGCCTGAACGCGCTTTTTCCGCCTCTTCCTATTTGTGCAACAAATTAAGAAGATTTTGATATGTTTTACTACCTTTTTGTTACTACTTTCTATTACCAATACAATCCCGGGACTATCCTGGGATCCCGGCTACCTTTTTGTTACCACTTTCTATTACCAATACAATCCCGGGACTATCCTGGGATCTGTAGATCTCTCGAATAATCTCGAAATCCCGGGATTAGAAAAATAGACCGGGATCGAATCCTCTAGTCGCAGCACAGTCTCTATTCCACCCGTAGTGAAGCCCTGTGTCCAGCAGTGGGGATGACCTCTGTGAAGTTAGCCCCCCACTTTTTGAATTTTATTATTATCTAGGTTGTTCTGGGTTGTTCTATGTTTGTTCTACATTGTTCCAAAGTATTATTTGAAAAAACTCAAATTTGAAGCTGCCAGACAAGAAAAACCGTTTTTCTATGGTAGCCCCCCATGTTTGGAAATTCAATATTTTTTTAGTTGTTCCAAGTTGTTCTAGTTGTTCCGAACGTTGTTCCAAAGTATTATTTGAAAAAACTCAAATTTGAAGCTACCAGACAAAAAAAACTTTTTTATGGTAGCCCCCCATGTTGGGAAATTCAATATTTTTTTAGTTGTTCCAAGTTGTTCTAGTTGTTCCTAACATTGTTCCAAAGTATTATTTGAAAATATTCAAATTTGAAGCTGCCAGACAAAAAAAACTTTTTTTATGGTAGCCCCCCATGTTTGGAAATTCAATATTTTTTTAGTTGTTCCAAGTTGTTCTAGTTGTTCCTAACATTGTTCCAAAGTATTATTTGAAAAAACTCAAATTTGAAGCTGTCAGGCAAAAAAAACCGTTTTTGAGATAGCCCCACCTCTGTGAAGTTAGCCCCCCACTTTTTGAATTTTATTATTATCTAGGTTGTTCTGGGTTGTTCTATGTTTGTTCTACATTGTTCCAAAGTATTATTTGAAAAAACTCAAATTTGAAGCTGTCAGGTAAAAAAAACCGTTTTTGAGATAGCCCCACCTCTGTGAAGTTAGCCCCCCACTTTTTGAATTTTATTATTATCTAGGTTGTTCTGGGTTGTTCTATGTTTGTTCTACATTGTTCCAAAGTATTATTCAAAAAAACTCAAATTTGAAGCTGCCAGACAAGAAAAACCGTTTTTCTATGGTAGCCCCCATGTTTGGAAATTCAATATTTTTTTAGTTGTTTCAAGTTGTTCTAGTTGTTCCAAACATTGTTCCAAAGTATTATTTGAAAAAACTCAAAGTTGAAGCTGCCAGACAAAAAAAACGTTTTTATGGTAGCCCCCCATGCTTGGAAATTCAATACTTTTTTAGTTGTTCCAAGTTGTTCTAGTTGTTCCGAACATTGTTCCAAAGTATTATTTGAAAATATTCAAATTTGAAGCTGCCAGACAAAAAAAACGTTTTTATGGTAGCCCCCCATGTTTTGAAATTCAATACTTTTTTAGTTGTTCCAAGTTGTTCTAGTTGTTCCTAACATTGTTCCAAAGTATTATTTGAAAAAACTCAAATTTGAAGCTGTCAGACAAAAAAAACCGTTTTTCAGATAGCCCGCCAAATCAAATCGTACTAGAGACAATAAATAAATCAACAATAATTTTAAACAATGACGATCGTATCAGTACAACCGTGGGCTATATCGTTCCAATTTCATTTAATCATTTTGAATAAAATTAATAGTTATAAGACAAGAAAACATTACACTATAGGGTAAACTCCCTAATTGTTGGCACTTTAAGAGTAGGTTCCATGTCAGTCAGACATTAAATTACCATAAAATCACATCTAAATGAGTTAGTACACAACACATGTAACAGTATCAAGGAAATATAGTTCAATCTTTGTTTTCATAATAGTACAGTCAATGAAGGCAAAAATCAGCTATAACCTCCGATTTCGATGAACCTCCATCGATTTTCATGAAAAATGGTGATGAGGTGGGGGATACCATATGAAACAAAAGTGACATAGTGCCAACTTGCGCTTTTACCCTAGGGGTAGATACCACCCCTTCTCGGGGGTAAAAATTATTTTAATAAAAATAACTCCAGGAATCGATAGAAAGACAAATTCTAAGCAAAAGTTGTTATATTAAGTTTTCGAAATAAATCAATACTTTCTGAGTTAATAATGATCAAAGATTGTGATTTTGTGCCAAAAAATTCATGATTTAAGCGGTTTTTATAAATATCTCAAAAACTATGAGTTTAAAGAAAAATATATTATTACTAGACGCAACGAATATTCGGTTACTATTCGGTATTCGGCCTATTCGGCTGCTTTTATTATATTCGGCCGAATACCGAATACCTACATATTATTCGTCCGAATACCGAATACTTAAATAATATATTTTGTCATAGAGAAATAATTGGTAAAATGAAAATTAATATCGATTGATTACGTAGGTATATATTCATATTTTAATTTCTGTTATATATAATCATTAAAGTAGTCATTGGTACATAATCATCTTCTGAATTGGAAAAATGGAGGACTCTATGTATTTGAATTATTGTGGTAATCAAAATTTAAAAGGGTAAGGTTCTCATTTATTTTATAATAATTTATTAAGTAGTCATGGGTACATAAAACAGGTACATAATTTCATCATTTTCTGTATTAAACAAGTTAAGAATTTTTCTAAGCATTTGAATTATTTTCATAATCAAAATTTAGAAGGGGGAGGTTATGGTGCAGAAAGATTAAATTTTCTGCATTTTTAGGAAGTAGTAGAAATTCTTTTTTTCTCGAACACCATCCCAGCTTCAGAGTAAAGGCGCTCTGAATAAACACTACTTCCTGGCGCCGACAAATATTTTGCTGCAATCTTAATCAAACACGGAAATTCAATTTTCCTTGCTGCCACCATGTATATGGGTTGTCATGACGTGATATATTACTAATATTTAAGAAAAGATCCATTTCTGTTGAAACTGCGTTTGACTGAATTGCACTGCAAACAAAAGGGCGCGAAACAATCACAAGTTTTTGGCGCTTGTACAAGTTTTTGGCGCTAAAATCCAGCCGGATACTTTTGCCTAATATTCAGCTATTCGGTCAGGGGCCTCGCCGAATATTCGGTATACTGCCGAATATACTATTCGTTGCAAGTCTAATTATTACCAAAATTGAAGCTACTAAAAAAAAACAAACCCCTTCTTTGAAAAACCTTCTTATATGAATTCAAAGTGAGCTATTGGTAATTGTATGTATATTTTTTTTCGACGAGTACTTAAATCTAAGTTTCCAACCCTAAATAACGGGAAACCGATGCATTTTAATGAATGGTTGGAATGAAGGGTTTATTTTTCGTTTTTCCTAAAAAAAATAAGTGTTATCTTATTTTTATCATAACTTTTTAAATTTTGAAGTTGTTAACTTTTTACAGTACCAATTATAAAGGTATTTCTGAGAAATTTAAAAAGTGCTCCGGAAATGTATGTCATAAATTCATCGGTTTCCCGTTATTTAGGTTTGAATACTTAGATTTAAGTACTTGCCGAAAAAAATATATGTACATACAATTACCTAT